GAGGAGAAATTCTCCCCAATATAGGTGCTTTATATTCTTAGTAATCCCAATGTTTCCAAATCAAGATAGGATTTTCTACCTCCTATTTTGTTATAGAGAAAAGATCATTATTCGCTACATAGTTACATGACCTAAATCCCAGCCCAATTTTCCACGTATCTACTATAGTAACTTTAAGGAGCATTCTTTCAGGCTTAAGTCTCCCCAGGTCTCACGTCCAGCTTCAGTGATGCATGAGACATCTCCCTTTGCTCGGGGTCCCATGGGCAGAGCCTGGCAGCACATCAGGGTGCTGTGAACATAGGCGGAGCTGAAGGCCACCAGGATGTCCCGCACCCGTCACCTCCCAACCTTATACCCAGCTGCCTCTCACCTCAGCGGCTTTGCTCAAAGTCTTCCTCATCCATTGTCTGCCTCTGCCTTCTCCACCCACCAAGATGCTTTCTACTCCTCTTTAAGGCTCTGCTCGGCTCCCTCTCACATGCTGCTCCCGACATCCGCAGGGATTCAACAGTGAAGCAAATGAAACTTGCTGACTCCCTTCCAAAGACCTAGCAGTGTTTTCACATGGTCATGTTCGTTGTTGTTTTTGGTTCTGAGATCAAACTTGGGACCTTGTGCTTGCGAGGCAGGCAGGCAGTGGAACCACTGAGCTAAATCCCCAGCCCTCACATGGTCATGTTTTTAAAATAATTTTTTTGTGTGGTACTGGGAGTTGAACCCAGGGCTTTCATACTGACCTTTATCCTCAGCCGGTTTCTATTTCTTATTTTGAGGCAGGGTCTTGCTAAGTTGCTAAGCTGCCTAGGCTGGGCTAGAACTTGAGATCCTCCTGCCTCAGCCTCCCAAAGTGCTAGGATTACAGGCGTGCATCACTACAGTTTAAAATAAAATATCGCTTCTCAGCCTTTTGGCTAAAATCAAGGGCAGTTTAAAATAAAATTTGTAGAAGATATTTTAAACGTGGTTGTTTTAAACTTTTCACTTTAACTCTCCATCACATTTCTTGGGTAGTGTTAAAGTAGCCATAAGCATTTGGGGGAATTAAGGTCGACACATGTTGAATTTGAAATACATTTGGTGTGGGTTTTAATGGAATAATATATGTATGTGATTGCCAATATCAGAATTGTAGGCAACCCTGGGTCATTCCCTGGCCCCACGCTGGGGGCCACCTGTAGTGGGCTCACTGGCCTTTGTTCCTTCTGACCCCGGGGCGAATGAGGATGAGTAATAAAGAGATCCAGAGTCAGCTCAACATGCAGGCACCCAGGGGCCCCTACCTCTAGCAGGCGGAGGAGCCTCTGGCCCACCTGGCTTTCATTCACCCAAACACAGGCACAAGCAATCAAAGTAAGACAGGCTTCATCCAGTTTCCAATGTCCATTAGTACATCCTCTGGTAAACAATTCAGCCTCAGCTGTTTTAACTTCTCCCTAATACGCAGTCACCCTTGAGTGCAGCCTTTCTCCTTTGTGCTCACAGAGAGCCCAGTTAGGCCTTAATTCTTCCCTGGTCCGCAATCAGAATGGCATATCAGCTAGGTTTCACCACGGATAGAAAACAGATACACTGATGGTCACAGACACATACATGTGTGCAGATAGAGACATATTACACGGCATTGGCTTATGCACTTGTGTCAGACTGGCTGAGCCAATATGAAGTTCATTGACCATCAGAAAGGAAGGCTAGGGATTAGCTAGAACTTTACAGGCCAAATCTCTGCTCCACAGGCAGGGCTGTCCCTTCCTTCCCCTTCCCAGGAAGAGTCTAAGCCCAATTTTAAGGCTAGTCAACTGATTAACTTCTCTTCTAACTGATTGTCAGGCCCATTCCAGATTACTTCTCTAACATAAAATCAACTGATCAGGGCTTTCCCTCTGTAGCATACCTCCAGCACACTTGGGTTTATGTTTGGACAAACAGCAGTACCATAGGTTGGCCTAGAGAAATGGACACATCAAAAAGCCACCTTACAATGGGCTCCTGGAGATACACCTGTCGCCCCTGTGCAAAATCACACTTCATGCACTGGAAGGTGGAGGACCAGGTTTTATAGAGCAGTCTTAATCTATCCTTCTGTACCCAGGACCAAAGCAAGTGGGAATTAGAGGAGAAACAAAGTTAGAAAGGTGTGAAACCCGAAGGTACTTTGGAGAAACTCTCCAGAATGTCAAAAAAATAAAATGTGAGTGGGAATTTCAGTTATCAATGCCTAGACAAAATGAAAGTGTAACAACATAGACAATTATAAAAACGCTACATGATTTTCTTTTCTTCTACTCCAATGCGAATGTAATATCGGCACTTTATCAAATACCCCATTTAAACTGTAAGTTGGGAAAGCCTTCTTGGAACATTTCAATTAAAACAAATCAGAAATTCTTCTATAGCAACTGGCGGACTGCAGTTTTAGATGTATAGAAAGTATACCTATTCTATCATTTTTTAATTCATTAAAAACTTTGGAGAAAACATCTATAAGGTTAACGGGACTAGGGAACAAAGCAAAAAATGAGCCATAAACATAATAGAGATGATTCTGAGTTCAGGAAGAAAATAGCAACAAGAGAATTTTCAGACCATCCAAAAGATAATAATTTATCATTTAAAAAAACAAAGTTCAAATCCGTGAAGATACGCTTAGTTTATATGACAATTTTGTTCATAGAGGTAAATCAATCATATTAACACACTAGAAAAAGACATAAGTACAAACCTCACCGAAAACCCCTATGTTGCCCTGGTTTGGACAGGGTGTATCCCCCAAAGGTTCACAAGCTGGACCTCCTTCCCCAGTGTGAAGACTCAAGACCAGGTGGGAGGTAACTGCCCTCCTCAATGTGGTCCTATCTCCCTGGAGAGACTGGTTAGTTCCCTGGAACTGACTAAATCTCTCTGGAGTCAATTAGGTCCCACAGGACTAATCAGTCACCATGGAAGTGGGTCTGCCTCCCCTCTATCTCTAACATAGGCTCCTCCTCTGCATGTACCTCCATCGCCTCCTGCTTCTTCACATCACCAGGAACCACCAATCAGGGCCTCAGTAGACTCCAAGCAGATGCCAGTGCCCAGTGTGAACATCCCCACCTCTAGGACTCTGAGCCAAAGTAAACCTCTTTCCTTCGTAAATTACCAAGCCCCAAGGATTTTCCTACAGCAACGGGACAGACTAAGAAATGTGCCATTATAAAAGACTCAAGACCAGATTAATATCACCAAAGCCAAAGCTGGTTAAGATTACTCATTTTATACACACACCCCTCAAAATCAGTGCCCTGAAATATTAATGCTTGTAAATGAAAAAAATTTGATAGTTTAACTACATTTGACAATAATCCTAAAATATTACCCATTATTAAAGTTGGTAGTTGAAAGAAACTTTTCTATGCTATCAAATATTTTTAAAATGTCTGACTAATTGGGCTAAAGACACAATTATCTTTCTAGTCCCTCTACCAAAAAAAAAACCTTATTACCACATAAAGGGATATGATGGTTAATTTTATGTATCAACTTGGTTGTCCCACTGTGCACAGACATTTGATCAAATATTATTCTAGATGTTTCTGTGAAGCTATTTTGGATAAGATTAATATTTTGATTGGTGGATTTTGAGTGAAACAGATTTCTCTCTGCAATATACTTGGGTTTAATCTAATCCACTGAAGGACTCAATAGAACAAAGACTGACCTCCCTCAGCAAGTTCGGGTCCAACACCAGCAAACTCTATCTGCCCTGCAAGTCTTCCTTGGTAACCATCTTGCCAGCCTGGCCTATGGATTTTGGAATTTCCAAGTCTCCAAAATTATGTGATCCAATTCCTTAAAACAACTTTCTCTTGATAGATTAGATATAGATAAGTGGATAGACAGCACACTCAACCTCTCACTTTTTCTTGCAATGTTTCCTATTTGTTTCTCTAGATAACCCCATAAATACCAAGCACAATCAAAAAGAAGTGTTAGAGAAGAATATTATGGACTGAATTTTGTGTCTTTAAAATTTGCATGTTGAGGCTCTAAATCACATTAATTCGGAATTATGAATATATGGCTTTTAAAGAGGTGATTAAATTAAAACGAGGCAGTTAGGCAGAGCGGTAGTCCAACCTGACTGGAGTCCTTATAAAAAGAGATATGGGATCCACGGATGTAGCTCAGTGGCACTGCACCTGCCTGGCAAGCACATGGTTCTGAGTTCAATTCCTGGTACCAGGAAAAAAAATGATTTAAAAAGAGACTAGGACACTAGGGATATGTTAACAGAGGGACAACCATGAGAAGAGGAAGCAAGGGAACAACCATCTGCTAGCCAAGGACAGAGGCTTCAAAGGAATCAACCTCACCAGTGCCTCCATCTTGGACTTCAACCTCCAGAACTGTGAGAAAATAAATTTCTAGGGCTTAAGCCATCGTAAGTATTTTCTTCTGGCAACCTGAGCAAACTACTGGGAAGTATATCAGGAAGTTAGTTACTAAAAATAAGTGTAATAAATGTGTAGCTGTCCTCGATTTGAGATGTTTACTGTAGTTGCCAGCTTTTAAGAATCTGTAATTTCTCAGGATTTCTTTTCCTATTCTGTGCATGTTCACTTTTGTACCTGTTTTGGTGTTCTTTTTCTTAAAGAGGGCCCCCAAAAGTATAATCTTCAGGGCTTACAATGTAGAGACCCTCTTTATGCTGACAGTCAATCTGTATCTCTTGCTTCTCCACGAAGACCTTCAGCACGGTCTACCATCGTATCCACCATGTTGTTGGAAGATGCCCTGTTTGTGTGTCTGGCCACCTGAGTGTGCCTTACTCCAGACTGCACTGCTTATGAACAGTTAATGCTTGTTATCTGTATATGAATCTACAGAGGGTAGCTCAATGGCTGGCACACATGTCAAATGCTCAACAGACAGACTTATTTGATGAAAGAATGGATCAATGTACAAACAGATACATGAATGAATACAGACGACAAAAAATAGATGAGTCAAGAGTCTCCCAGTCTCTGTGCCCATCACCTTTATTTTGAGAGTTCAGGTTAGACTAGTCACATTATTTGAGCTCCACTGAAGAAAAAGACCCCCTTATATTATCTTCTAGCTACTGGATTCTCATGAAAACCTAATTGAAATGCAAAGCCAATAAGGAAAGCTACAGCACTTAAACATTTAACCCTCAGAGAGAACATCCAGCTGAAAAAGAAAAGGCAACAAATAAATTACAATAATCAAACACCAAAAAAGTGAATAAAACAAACAATGCAAAAATTTCTCTTCTCTACCCAATACCTCATCCTGGCATCTATCTTTGATATTTTGGAGCTGTGATTGGATAGGTATGTAGATACACATGACTTATCTATTTGATTATATGTTCAAGCAGATAATCTGAGAGTGTGAAATACAATACTCAGAAACCTTGTCAAACACTCACTGTTTCCTGAAATGATAAGATATTTAAGTCTGAGATATGTGTTCTTTGGAGTACAAAATATTTTCTGTGAAAGTACAGCCCTGAATTATAATGAAAACACTTGTATAAATAATTTATAAACCATGCTCTTTTGTGAATTTCTCCTTTATTCCATATTTCTAACTCTACCATGTATTTTCAGGAGAGAATCTCACACACAATCCACACATTCACACACACACACACACATACACACACACATGCACAATTATTTGCTTGGTACAATTCATTATACACTGTTTTGACAATGTAACCATTGTTTTCATTGGGAATTCTTTAAATGGAACATTCAGAAAATGAAAAGCAATTTGTTTTCTATTATTTAAGGTGCAGAAGAGAGTTGTTTGTACCCAACAAATTTGCCCAAAATTGTACACTTTTCATTTCCTGTTTCCTGCCACCTATCTAAATTGGGGTCTTGGAAAGCCTATTGTAAGGCTGTTTCTTAATCTTTTTTTGAATTATGGACATTCTTAAAAACTTAGCTACCCACTTCCACCCCCAATAAAAGATACGCATGCGAATAAACACAACATTTTGCATCTCCTTGTCTTTTAATGCCAGCTAGGAAAACCTGCCCGGTGGTCCTGGGTGAAGAACTTCCACCTATGTGCTACTCATGAAGAAAGTAAAAGAATGGGTTAGCAGGGTGGTACCAGTGTGGGAATGTGAGGCCTACAAGATACTCCATAATATACATAAAGCTTTATCTCAAGCAAGATTCTTAAGCAAAAAGGAATTGATGGAGGGAGAGAAAGATATCTTTAGCGTCTTACTTCCCAACAAGAGAGCTTTCAACTTTTGAATTATGAGTTGAGTTGATGTTACAGGTCAAGAGCTGGGGAAACTGTACAATTTATGATGGTAAAAAAATTTGTTTAATGCACAGTATTCTAGCAACATACCTTTTTCAAACAGACGAAGAATTCAATTTAAAACATTCTTCTACTAATAATGCTATTTGAGAGGAAAATATAAAGTAAATCTTATTTTAAAGCAAATTTACACTTAATAATATCACCAAAATACAAATCTATTAAAAATAAACCGTGTCTTTAATGTTTATTTCACATTATCTAAGTACATCCAGTTATGCAAATTTACATTTCTATTTCACATCTTTGCCTTCCTGATATACATATAACAGGACAAAAAACACATTTGTAATATTTGGCCTATAAAATCTCGCCAGGGGAAAATAAGATTATCTGCCACCTTATTCTTCTGCATATGGATAAAATACAATTCTAAATAACTGAAGTGATGTCAAGACTGGTAAAAGAAAAAAATGACTATCTGTCCTTGTTGTTAAAATGGGCTTCTAATTGTTGAATTACAGTTTATTAGTGGCATCATCTTTGAGAGTTCCTTAAAATATTTCAAAGCTTGGATAATTATTTCTGGAACTCTTGTAACTGGTATGATGTCAACACTAGCTCCCCATCAATCATGCTGAAATGTTGGCATCGTGGTCTTGTGTATTCACCTAAGATATTTTTAAAAGTAGTCATCAACATTACTATTCCTTTTTTGTGAAAACATTTTGCCAGGCTAGAAAATAAGCAATTATTTCTTCAATTAGGTAAAGAAAAGGGACAGACCAATACAATGTGGTCCTAATTTTTAAAAGAAACAATCACATTGAATTACAGAATCTAAAACTTTGCTTACAATTTTATGAAACCCAAATATAACAAAATCACATGACAATACTAGATAACTGCATGTTCATTCTGTTCAATATTTCCCATGAGATCTTTTGTATCACTAGTTCCTGGGCTTGAGTGACTGTTAAAGTACAGAGTATTTTCAAAGGTGGTTTCTGGAGGTAGCTGTGCCCGTCTCTTCCTATAAAAGTAATAGGCAGCGAGCCCAGCACTCATTACAATCAGGAGGACCACGACAACCAGCACTCCTGCTGTGCTGGAAGATTTTTTGGAAGGCTCCATCTTCCTGGAGTCAGCTATTAACAAATAAAATCATTAGCAAACAAGTGGAGGGAGAAAGAGGGTTGAACGTGATGGAAAACAACACAAATGACCTTGCTGAAAAGCTAAAATGCATGAGTATTCTCTTCATTTCCAAACAGAAATGCAGGACATGAAAACAAGACCCTCCATGACATGCAGTTATTTAAAAGTTGGAAGAATATTTTATCTATTATGTAGCATTGAGATAATATTTTTAAAATAACATAAATGTTATATAGATATGAAAAGAAGGGATTTTAAAATATGAATAGTGGAAATGTGAACTCATGAATATAATTAGTAAACAAATTGCATCATTAAATTAATAAAAGGGTTATGGGCAAGTGATGAATCTCAACTGAGTTTTTTTTTAGCAGCCAACAATATGAATAATATAGGATTAGTTCCTGAATTTAAATCATCTATACTTCAAACAATAAACTTTGCTAAAAATGGAAAAAACCCACAAAGATTCCTAAGAGAAATTTCTTCCATGGGTTCCCAAAGAATAATGCTTTGAAAAATGGCAAACAATGTCTTTAACAACTTTTAAAACAAAAACACCAACCCATTTCAAGTCCTGTTTTTCTAAAATATTATTTCAGGTGGGATGAGAGCTCTGAGCTCCATGTGCCCCACCCCCTGCCCCCCTGGCCAAATTCCTGAGCTCCGAGAACAATCACAGCCTAGGCCTACACCCTGCACCCCCCAAATGTGCCCAGGAACGATGCCTACTCTGCTAAGACAGGTCTCGCTACCCACTGCTGAGGCCACGTACACGGCCGTTGTTGCCCCCAGTCTCATGCCCTGCGACTTCCTGTCTCCCCACCTAACCCCGTCACTAGCCCCCTACCCTGTCCATAAAAGACCCAGCTCAATAAACTATACTGAGACTCTCTTTGGGGTTACTCCAGGAGGTCCCACTCAGAACCCCCAACTTCCGGTTGGCTCTGCTCTTCATAGGTCATTACCCAGCTGTGGAACAATGATACACAATAATGACGAAGGCTAGTTAGCTCAAGCAATTCGACCAAAGGTTCAGGAGGAGTAGGAAGGGATTATGATGGCTTTTAAAACTTGAAGTTTCATAACGGTCTTACCTTTTGTTGTGATTAATGTGTGAGTCGGTTCAGGATCAATAACTGTAAAAAAACCACAAATATTTATAAAAATCCATAATAACTGCATGTAGATAGTAAATTTTATTTCCTCAGAGATATAAGAAATTCTCTATATTTCACTTATGATAACATAATATTATGAATGTTAGGATCAATGGATGGATGGGTAGAGATAGATGGATAGACGGACAGGCAGAGCTGGAGGGATAGACACAGAAAAGGTCTGTACATTTAGCTGTCTGTCCATCTTCCATCTGTCTAGCTATCTACACGATGGCAGCAACCTACAACTATACAGTGACTTCGAATACATTGCAAGAGCTGAAAATGTGATCCGCCAAGTTGCACTTGAGCACTGATACTTTTTTAAAAACCTACTCAACCTATCCATGAGTGAACTATTCTGGGTTGAGGGTTTTGAAATTGGCCTACTGAAACCTGAGGTGTAGAAGTCATTTGTGTAACAAGTAAAATAAAACTGTAACGTTGCCCCAGAGCCTGTAAAATGTTCAAAGAGAGTTAAAGAAGGCTACAAATCTAATAAGACCTACTGAGGAAACACAACTTGCTTATCGGATTCATTTCATTTAGTTTCTATCACATTAATAACTTTCTCTCTTAGGAAGAATAAAATGGCAATGACATATTATTTCAGGCCGCACTGTGAGCATTTCACACTATTAATTTCTCCACTCCCTCTTCTTGGCGTGGTCTTTCACTCTCTCTCAGATGGAGACCCAGCTGGCCCTACATGACCTACTCCACAATCACTTCTGAGGCCTCTCCAGCCCTGGCCTCTTCTGCTTCTCCCTGCCACAGTAAGGCTTCATAGATGCCTAGTCCCAACTGCTTGCAATTCAGCAAATCTATATTCAAGGATATCCCATTATGAAAGTATTGATAACCAAACTCATTGTGTCAGTAAGGCAGGCAGAGCACACCCTTCACTCACTCACAGCTGTAGGCAACAATGGACTTGGTGGAGTGGATTTTCCACCGATAAAGGGAAAGCTTGACAAAGGCTTGCAGTGCACCTGTGTAATCCCACACCTGGTATCTTACTGTCTGAAAGAAATGGGGACCTGTGAACACGTGTACCGTGCAACAAACTTCTTACTTTTTGGTCTTTTACAGATAAATCCTTTGTAGGAAGAACAATGAATATTAGTCCAAAGCCCAGTCGAGGCAGTCAAAGCTACACAATCATTTCGCTCAGTAGAGGGTTCTCCCGAGTTCCAGTTGACAAAGGACAATGGACTGTTGTTTATCCAGAACCACTTTCCTGATCATCAAATAAAACCAATAAAAGCAAAAGTTAAAAATAACCCATCTTAAGAGGCTGGGGGGGGGGTATCGTGCACAGGTGCAGATTTCCTAGGATGAGTGTTATCATTATGTATGTCTAAAATGTGCCAGTAAGTGTTTTGCTATTAAAAAAATAACTTATCTTAAGTCCACCTTATTGGCACAAAATTTCTAAGCATATCAGTTTTTACTATAATTAAGAGTTGTTTACAAGTTGATTTTTAACAACCAAGATTATAACGACTTACTGCAGGGAAGGAAACCAACAAGAATGTTTATTATATAGTTTTAGTTTGAAAATTTATTTCTAATTTTACAAATATTTATACTTATCCTTCCCTAGCCTTTTCATTCTGGCAAAAAAAATGGAAAATGATCCTTAAATAGTCTTCTTAGAAGTTTTTAATTAGCAGGTTTGAGAATAATAAAATATGTGAGTCATTTAAACTTCCAGTTTTTATCTGAAATAAAAATGAGTTTGAATTTTCAAACTCATCACAGATTAATCATTACTTAAGACTTTCTGGAACTGAAACCTTGCTTTATATATAACATTTTTAAATATTTACAATTTAAAAATGGCTCTTCAAAAATTACCTTCAACATTTCTGAACAATCCTATCCAAAAATTGGTTTTACTTCTAAGAGGTTCAACTAGGTATGAAATAAAACTGGATTCAGCAGCATTTTCAATGGAAACCAGGTAGGAATCTGCAAAGTACAAAAGGACAAATATGATGGAAAGACCTTGAGGTAGCCAAAGTATTTTTATAAACAATATTGATATTAAGAGCAATAAAAATCAGCCCAACATTTAAGGAGGCTGAAACAAGACGATCCCAACTTCAAGCCCAGCCTGGGCAACCTAGCATCTTTGTGTGACCCTGCCGGAAAACTAAAAACTAAAAAGGGCTGGGGATGTAATTCAGTTCAAATGCCCTGGGTTCAGTCTCCAGGGCTGAAAAAATAGGGGGGAAGATACTTTCAATAAGTGGATGTTGTCTTCTCAAAATATCAGTATCCACTGTGAAAATACAGCTTTCTAAGCAACATTTTTTGTACAAGCACGTAATGAGTTCCTGCCAAATATCCAAGCACAAGTGAGATATAAAGAGACTCAATGATGCTGTGGCTCACTGGTCTGCAGTAAATGGGGAGTACAAAGGAATGCAACGGGGAAATAGGTGCGATAAGGCTATGGTCATGTCAAACACTCATGTAGCCGAAGCAACTGATGCGGAGAATGGCAGAAAGGGAATTTAAGTAGAGAAGAGCACAACTTTATATAGCAGGAACAGAAACTGATTCCAGACAACAGTAATTAAACACAAAGATGGAGGACAGCACCGAACTTCTTTTAGAACAGGGATGGTTTGATTTGGCTGGAGAATCATCATAATCTGGTCAATGGGACAAACAAACAAACAAAAAGAATTAGGTTAAGCCTCACTGCAGGAGACTGGTATTTAGATCAATGGCAAAGATGGTAAAGAACACTTAGTTTTGCGGGGCAGCAGAATAATACAATATACTATAGGAGTATTAATCCAGCAGTTATGTACAGAACCATTCAAAGTGAAAAGAGAAAACTGGAACACAAGTCAGACAGCTGTGGAGTTGACATGAAATATACTCAGCATCAGACTTTTACAGTAAAAATCTACAGCTCTTTAATAATAACTAATATATTTTAAACATTTCATGCCACTAGATTTTGCTTTGGTCTTTACAAGCATTATTCCATTAAATTTTGACAGGACCTCATTGACTATTGTCAGATCATCTTACAGGTGGGGAAACTAAAGCACAGACTAAGCTCAGGAAATTGCTAATGTCCACCAGCAGAGCAGAGTTAGGTGATGACCCAGACAATCTGAATCTTGAGGGCCTATACTTAGCCAGGTGCTTACATCCCCTATTACTGTGTTCTGGCTCATTCCCTTGCTAGCTGTTTTCTCTGCATAATTATATAATCCAATAGTAAATATATTTCATAGACACTGGCCATTTGTATCTATTATGGGCTGTGTCTAGATGTCTCCCAAAGGCTCATGCAGTCAGAGGTGGGCATTTCGAGGTGGCTGGGTCTAGGGTGTGTGATGCTGGGATTAAGGATGGGATGCTGTAATGAAGGGTGCCCACTCTGGGTGTGAGTGCTACCTGCCCTAATGTGGGTAGCCTGGATGGAATACAAGAGACAGAAAGAGGGCCACTGCCATCGCTACTGGTGTTCTGCCGCCTTCTGCCCACACTATGATGCTCCTCTGCCATGTCACCCTGCCTTGGAGACTGCCGACCATGGACTGAAACCTCCACAAACCGTGAGCCCAATAAACCTTTCCTCCTCTAACTTTAGAAGTTGAGTATTTTGTCTCAGCAACGAGAATAGGAACTAAGACAATGTCTAATTCATAGACACTAGCCATTTCAAAGTATTTGTGACATATTTTGATAAAATGAGAATCATGTATTGATCAGATAATTCCATGATCTATAATTAAAAACAAGTTTTTTACATATGCATTGTAAATTTTTAACATACACTTTACGACATGAAAGAAACATTTTCAATTAACTCAAAAACAGACTTTCTATGACATCATCAGAAACGGCAGAGCAGTACTTCCGAAAATGCTTTCCTTTATAAAACCAATGAGAATACCGGCAAGTGTGTTAAAATCAATTTTTGTCAAAATTAACTTCTTCAGAATGCTGAAAATTAACTAGAGGTTTGTAAGAATCCAAGAAGCAGTTGTGCAAGAAAAACAATTCAATCTTGGTAATGACAGCAGGTTTTGTGCTATTTTAACTTGTCTGAATCCCACTGCCTTCTCACTAGCTCTGTGGTATTCTGTAAACAGCCCCACAATCACAGTGAAAACCAGCAGCCTGGATGCCACTGCAGGGGTCAGAATGTGGCTGGAACTCTTTCCAAGCTCCATTCTCAAAGAATTTCCATTATTTCAGCACCTGATAGTACCCTAGATAAGTCCACTTACAAAGCATGTCTTTATTTGACCTGATTCAAAAGTCCCTCACTGCAGATCAACTTTTTCTTAGGAGTATTTGTCGAAAACTATCAGTGGCAATTACCTAAGGAAGTGAAAGAAGCTGGGGAAAACAATAAGCTAACAAAAAAACTGAAATGCAAAAGCTGGGGAATGAAATACCTATAAGGGATTTTCAAAAGCACTGATACATTAGTAGAGAACTAGCAGGTCATGGAAACACAATAAGATGCATACATGCTCTAGCTGTGCGCATGCCTGAGAAAGACCTAGAAGGTCCGAAGCTCTCCCTCTATTTGACCCTGGAGTTCTGCAAAAGCAGGACAATGAAGGCTAAGTTAGAGTTTCCAACTGCCTGGATGAGTGGTAAAAGCACATCCTAGACAGAGCCCTTAGCAAACCCTGGGAGATTTAGTAGCCCTAGGCACATAAAAACATCTGTGTCTATCACATCTGGGAGAACCACACCTAAACAGATCATAATCAAACTGTTAAAAAATAAAGAGCCTTAAAATCAGCAAGAGTGAAATAACTCATGATGTACAGAAACTTAACACTAATTTTTAACCAGAAACCATGTGTTCAGGAAGAAATCAGATAAAATGGTTAAAAGGCTGCAAGAAAATGACTGTTGACCAGGGATTTTCTATCTGGAAAAACCAACCTTCAAAGATAAAAGAAAAACTAAAACATTCCTAAATGAACAAAAGTGAATTTGTTACTACAATAAACACTAAAGAGAATCCTTCAGGCTGAAATAAAAGGGCACATGAGAGCTACTCAAATTTACATGAGAAAATAAAGAACATAGATGGATAGATAGATGATAGATAGATAGATACATAGATAAAATAAATGCCACCAGGAAAGGTAACTACATATGTAAATACAGAAAACAATATGAGTGTATTTTCTTTATAACTTTTTTGTATCCTAATTTAAAGCAACTTCATAAATCAGTACTTATAAATCTGTCTCAATGGGTATGTAACATATAAAAAGGTTTCTTAAGACAATAACTGTGGAGGACAGGAGAATAGAGCTATATAAGAGCAGATCTTGGGGCTGGGGATTTAGCTCAGTGGTTCCACTGCCTGCCTTGCAAGTGCAAGGTCCAAGTTCAATCTCCAGTACCACCCCCCAAAAAAAGAGCAAATCTTTTGTTCACAATTAAAATTAAACTTGTATGAATCTGAACTAGATTGTTGCAAATTAAGATGTTTGTTGTAATCGCCACAAGATACTAACTATGCTCCTTGATTTAACATGTAGGGAAAAAATGGCAAAATAAGAGATGCACTTAGACATATTGTCTTTATCAGTAATTTCACTGGATTAAACACTCTAATTAAAATGGAAGTTCATAGAATATTCAGATTAATTAATTAGAAAGATTTAACTATATGTTTTCTGTAACTGTATTTTTATTATAAAATAAAAGACACACTTGAGATCCAAAGACACAAACAGGTAAAAATAAAAGCATGGAGGGCCGGGGATTTAGTTCAGTGGTTCCAGCACCTGCCTCGCAAGCGCAAGGTCCCGAGTTCAATCCCTAGTACCAATAAACAAATAAATAAATGCATGGAAAAAGATATGCTGCTATGTAGACAATAACTTAAAAAGAGCTGGAGAAGCTATACTAACATTAGACAAAACAGCCTTTTAGACAAAAATTATTTCTAGTGACAATGAAGACATTCTGAAATGATAGTTTCAATTCATCAGGAAAATTTTGTAGGTATAGATATATATGAACCTGACAACAGAGCCCAAAATTACATGAACCAAAAACTAGTAAAGCAGACTTCAGCTGATGCAGAGAACAAAGTTAAAAGTTAAAGCTGACTTCTGAATGAACCTAAATGAGAATATAATCCTTTCACTCCACTATTGGATGAAGAACCCTGAGTGAGGGTTAAATACATATAAAATATATTTAAAATAATTCAGTAAAATATTGGGTGAGATTTAACGAAGAGGCTTTAAAATGCACCCTGAAAATTACCGTTATTTGACATTTGCTATCTCAGAGGGAAAATCATTCATGTATGTCATGTGTATTTGAGTTTTGTTTCTGGTTTTCTTTACAAATACAATAACTAGATGTAAAATCCAGTTTACCTGCTAGTGAAATAAGATGGTTTTTGGTTAAAAACTGAGCTTATCAGTTATAAAAAGCTAGTAAAAAACGAGATAACCGAGGATGAAAATCATAACAACTTAGAACATTAGGGCAGAAAGACTTGTTCAGCAAATTATTGTTTTGTACATGAATTTTACATGAATGTTTACGTTACTTTACAATGCTAGACGTTGTTTTTGCAGAGCCTAATATTATTTTATTACAAAAAAAATCATTAAAAATAAACTGATATTTTACACTCCTTGTATTTTACACGTACAACTATTAGCGTCATGGGACTGCGGAATGGACAGCTGTGTGTGTTCTTTTGGGAAAGGTGGCACTTACTCATGCGGAGGCATTCCAGGGTAGCTTGACCCCAGTTCCTTGTGAATGAAGATTCAATGTAGTAGCAGTGACCGTGGAAAGGAATCCACGCATTGACCTCTGACTCTGGACACCTGCCGGGCAGCTGTGGCGGTTCAGTGGCTGGAATCTCTGTGAAAATAAAGCAAAACTGGAAGTGTCATTGTGATGGGGAGTAATATTTTCACAGCTGAAGAAAATGATATCAACTATCATTATTTTTAAAAGCTTCCAATGTTTACCACTTGAATCCACCTTTTTTTTTTCTTTTGGTACTGGGGATCGAACTTGGGTCCTTGTGCTTGCAAGGCAGGCCGTGGAACCACTAAATCCACTATTTTTATTATAGGGTTTTTATCTTCTTTACCATTTTAAATATATTGCAATAGAATACACCATGACATAGCAGTAATCAATCACAGTCAAAATGTAAAGCTGTAGATCTATTAATATTTGTAAGGATGTTATAAGTTTTTAAAAGTCTCAAAATAATTTACAAAGGAATTTCATTCCAAGTCACTCTTTTCCTTTTCTGTGGCCCTAAACCCTATATATTCTTCTTAGCGAATAATGGCATCTATGATATTACTAAATATTATAGTTAGGATTCCAGGACAGTGTCCATAATATCTGCTAGTCTGAAGAAATTACATGAATTCGGATAGGATTCTATTAATACAAATGTGCTGTTTCTACTGAAAGGGAGCAGAATTTCTTGGGTAATCTGTCATTATGGATTCAGAGGACAACCTCAATACCAGCATGCACAGATTTATGAAGAGAAAATAAACTCCAGAAATAAAGAAAACTTACTATCTCCATTATTTTGACATGTATCTATACAGCTCTATATCTGTATCTAAATCTATATCCAAGTTAGTCAAACGAATGTTTTGATTTCTTCTTAGCCACCCAAGATAGCTACATCACTCTTTAACATTGCCAGTGGTGTGTAGTAACTTATTCAGAAAATTTCAAATCCCTCAATTGTTGCTCTGTATCCAATTACCATCTGATCTCTTGCAGAGAAAATAAAAAGTTTCATTGCAATATGATGTCTTCCAGAAACCATCAACATCCAGATAAACACATGCTGATTTCACCCTGGGCTCATTCACTGCCCAGTTATTGTACCTCATCCTCCATTTATCGATCCAAGTGTAGTCGTTGTTGGTCTGCAGGAACAAAAATGACCATAAACATAGGGTTTTGACTCATTTAGAAAGTACCAGAAGAACCTAGCAGAGACTAAAGAGTACATTTTAAGGCTATGGGGTTCAACACAGTGTCTTAAATATCTGTGAATAAAAAGAATATTATAAATCACATGTACCAACTCAAATTCAGTGAAAGAAAGCACCCTTTCTTAAAAATGGACCGCCACTTGCCTTGCAAGCGCAAGGTCCCAAGTTCGATCTCCGGTACCCCCCCCCCCAAAAAAGGTTATTTCTTGGAGATCCCTAGGAATGCATCCTTGGGAACAATTTTAAAATAATACCAGCTAAAAAGTCTATGTCTTCAACCATGCAACTCTTTTTTCTTATGTTTTTCAGGGCCAAGGGAAAGTTTGATTTCATAGCAAATAAAATATGTATATTAAACTGGTTGTTTCACTCCATTGGCTCACTTACTTTCTCATTAAAATTAAGTCAAATTTATGGCTACATACAAAGTAATTGATAACATGAATATTTATCAATAATATAGTAAATATCATTTTAACAATTTGAAACATATTTCTACATATTATACATAAGAGCAGGTGGTATATAAAACATAAACCAGAGATAATTAAATTTTTAAAAAATTCAAATATTTTCTACCTTTTTAACTGCATCATTTAATTTACCAAGACAATAACCACTCAATGAGAAAAATTAAAAGCATGTGTTTATCTCAAGTTAGAATTCATTTTGTGTTCTTCCATGTTTAATCAAATAATGCCTGCATAATCATGAAATCTACAGACATGGGAAAATAACAGTACTGTTTTAGTCATCAATATTGGTAGTATGAAAAACTATTTAATCTTACAATAAATAAAAGCCTACCTGAAACTCACAGGAGAATTGTGAACACATTCATAAGAAAATGAATAATCGAACAAATCAATGATCAAAAATAGTCAACAGAGACATAAAAATGCCTTGCTTATGCTTAGTTCCAGAAATCATTATAGAACTACTTCCTTTAAAATATTCACTTTCTTACTTAGGAAATACTAATTGTATAACGTGTAAGTCTCTATCTCTGCATCAGGGCATTAGGAGCTCTATAAAATCTGACAACAATCTACTTACCAGTTTTGCCCCTTCGATGCTTTTCTTTCTTGGTATTCTTTCATTATGTTCTACCATCCTAGACTACAGTACTTCTGAAAAGGTTGACTTTCTCAGAGAAACGTGAGCCTCTCCTTAGCTCAACTGTCCCATTTCGCTCCTCCAATAATAAATATTCTCTATATATCTCTCATTAAAACTTCTGCTATTGTCTCTTGGTTGCCTACTGAGACCTCTTATTTTTGCAGTTTGTAAGTTTGCTGATTCACTAGCTAGATGAATGCACAGAGGAAGGATAAATGGTTCATGAAGCATCAGAGAAGGCTCATTTTAGGACTAATTTGGCAATTCTATCACCACTTCGTTCCAGGCTTCAACCCTCACTTCACACCATGCGTTACCAGCCTTCCTTTCTCTGTCATGGAATACAGGGAATCGACGGCAGTGAGCTACTCGTCATACATGCATGGAAGTTCCACACTTTCAGGACCTGTCAACTCTAGAAGAGCTTGTCACAAAAAATCAAAGCATCCTCAACACCCACTAATGATGCCTCTAACTCCTTTCTTGATTCCCATGCCCTTCTTGTAATCATGACACTGGAAAGAAATAAGCAAATAATATAACTTTTAGATTCAGCATATAATTTTAATACTCAAGAGCAGTTATATAATTCCTAGGTTGACTTCTGACACATATCACTAGCTTACTAGATCCTTGAAGGCACCGGTCCCTTGAAAGGTTGGGCGTTTTCATGTTAGTACCATTCACATTGCTCAACAGAGTTCCTTCCACATAACTGTTCAGCAGGATGGACAGGAAAATCATATTCAACCACAATGCAAGTCAAGTTGTGTCTCTTTCCAGCATCTTACCAAGTTACTATTCAGGCCGATCCACACAGGTACATTAAATGGCTGCATTTTTAACCACAAAAATGCATTTGTATAGGGATCCAGAATGCTAGCAATAAGGGAAGTATAACTCTTGCAATATTTCTCTGCTTCATCCCATGTTAATTTATTTTTCATGAGTGAATAGCTGCTTCCACCATATTTAATAAAGCCACCTGCTGGAGCTGTTGTTGGAGAATTAGGCAAGGAAGGATCTGGAAAGAATAGATTATTTCCATTAGCATTACCAATAAATATTAATTGAACCATGAGTATATAACTACTATGTCTCACCCACTAGCAAAATAACCAGAATAGCATAAATCCAAACTATCAAATGATAAAAATATTTTTATGAACCATTTTACATTAAAGAACAAACTATTTTTTAGTCAGCATGCCTGACTGAATGATTTTTAATCTATAAGGGAGGGTAAGGTACATATTTGATAAAGATTCTAAACTAAAATATAACTGTTACAAATTCATTGTTATGTAGTATCTGGATAAATGAAATGTCACAGCTTAATTCTAAAAATTAAAGACTATCTGTCATCTTGTATTGTGAATCTCTATTCTTCTACCTTTGCCAAGTTTCAAGTCAAGAACAGCCTTCCTCTCTCTGTTTGTTTCACTCCACTCATAACTGCAGCTGTTTGTACCTGTTTTGCTCCCCACTGTAAGTAATGCTTTTCCAAAACATGCACAGGTTGGAATGAAATCACATACATACACACACACACACACACACACACACACACACACACACATGTCCTTGGTTCACTTAACCTTGATCTCAAGTCCATCTTACAGATAGATGACTTCCTGTGTTCACCTCAGTCCGCCATCGCCGATCCAAACTGACCCAGGAGCTGGAGCCTGGTTAAGTCCAAGCCACTTCGGCTTTATACCTTTCCTCCTGAACGCCCTAGCATGGGTTTCTAATCACTGCTTTATGTCCATGCCCAACTCCATGCCATTTAATCAAGACACTAAACCAGAGCTTGTTTCTGTTTGCCTTAGCTGGTGCCCTAGGGCAGAGGTAAGTGACCAACCAGAGGATTAAATCTGACCCATGAGTTACCAATGGCTTTTAAATGGTTGGGGGAAGGGGATTGAGAATAATATTTCTGGACACTGTAAATATTATATAAAATTCAAATTTGTGTCCATAAATAAAGTTTTATTGGAACACAGCCACAGGCATTTGCTTACATATTGTCTATAACTGTCTACGACGAAGACAGAGTTGAATTGTACCCACAGACGGTGCGCCCCACACAACCTGAAACATTTACCATGTGGCTCTTTATAGAAAAGTAGCCCTTAGCCTAGACTTCTAGATAGCTTTGCTTGCCAATTTTTCTCCTTGGGCAATTTTTCCCCTCTGCCCTGTTCCACTTTATCCTAATCCAATCTAACATCTGGCTCCTTCTGATACCACAGACAGCTCAACTTTCTTTGGCTGTGCCTGATTAATAGTGAATTCATTTCAGCCTCCCTTGCTCCTGCTCCTGCTGCCCCCTTGTGTTGGAAAGATATCATTAGCCCGAGAGAGCAGGACAGGACCCTTAAAATGTCACGGTTTGGGAGAAACTGCCTCATGGAGTTCCAGCTGTGAAGGTCTGGACTTGACTGACTGCCATCAGAAAACCTGGGGACCATTACAGTGGCAAATGAGGCTTGAAGTAAAGTTTTTAAAAAAAGAAAAAACAAGGTAGTTTCACAGAAAGCTATATATGACTAGGAAACTTAGCTCTACCCAATTTGCTTATTCATAAAATCCTTCACAGAAAATACATAGAAGGGGAAAAAAACCTGAAATGTTGACAGGTTGTTTCTAGGTGGCAACTTTTTCTTTTCTTTCTGACTTTATTATATTTTCTAGCTTTTCAGCAAAGAATATATTCTATATATTTTTTAGTATATGTGCTGCCGAAGCAAGCACAATATTCTATATATTTTTAAAAATAGTGTTTCCTACTGGGTGCAGTGGTGCTGTAATTCCAGCACTCTGGAAGGCTGAGGCAGGAGGACTGCAAATTTGAGTCTTGTGTGGCAATTTAGTGCCTTAGCAAGACCCTGTCTCAAAATAAAAAAAATTATTTTAAAAAGGCTGGGGATGTAGTTCAGTGCGAAGGCCCTGGGTTCAATCCCCAATACTACAAAAAAAGAAATTTCTTTAAGTTATAATATATATTGTATATAATAAAATATATTATGTAATAAACATATACATGTTTTAAAGTTATTATATAAATGTTTCAAAAAATGCAGAAAACCAAAATGAAGGACCTAAGGTCCGCCTTTGTCCCACTATTTGAGGGGAACAGCACATTCCCATTTGGATGCCCTTCCTTAGAATTTTTGTCATTCTTTTTAAAGGGGGGAATTGATAGTGTTCTTTGATAATTTATATTTTGTATAATTTTATACGCTGCCGTTTTTTCATTTTAACAATGTGACTCTTAGATCCTTAAAACATTTCCGGTGTTATTAAGCATCGCAGGAGAGTGTATTGCAGATGTTTAGGAGAAAAGATTTTAAACAGGCATGTGCATCACACTCATTCTGGGAAGCGTCCGGCCGTCCGCAGCCCATGCAAGTTGGTATCATGGCAGCCCAGGGGCACTGGACCCCGATGCAAGGGTCCTTTGAGGTCCATGGGGAGATGGGCTCCAGAACAGCCTTCCCCTTGCTCAGACCCTCAAATCTCCAGCTGCTCAAGTCTCTTGTATAAAACAGCTCTGAACCTAATTTAGACATTATACAGGGGATACATCTATCAAAACATCACGCGATACCCTATTAACATGTACGAGTTTGAAGATTTTTATGCATCAGCTAAAAAGTTAAATAAAAAATTAACAATTGAATAAAAACGGAATAGTACTCATGCATGCATCCTCCTGTAACCCTTTGATCATTTCTAGATTACTTACAGTGCCTACTACAATGTAACTGCTATATAAATAATAATTACACTGTATTGATTAGAGAATGGTGACTCAAATAGTCTGGATATGTTCAGTACAAATACAGATGGAAGGGGTTTTTCTAAATATTTTTAATTTGTAACTGGTTGAATCCAAGGATGTAGAGGTGGTGGATATGGAAGGCAGACTATAAAGAGACAGCAACATGGCTAGGACTGGGTTTGGGGTTAGGGAGGTAAGAACTCTGCAGTACTTTTCAATCATCTGAAAGGCACATTAGTGATTTCCAGTTCCTGTCATGAGTTCACATCAGGTCCCTGATTCTCCAGAAAGTGTCAAGATATCTGTTTGATCTGAGATAGCAAAGAATCTTCTGACCCACTCATGCTCTGAGAACAGTATTCAGGGTGACACCTTCCCACCCTCAACCCTCACCTCTAATCCATTTTTTAATTTCTGACTCTTTTGTGTAGCTGGACATCATTGTTCTAGTTTCACTAGAAACAAACTTTACACAAGCATAATATTGATTCACAGTAAATACCCACATGTTCTGTTTAATTTTGTGTAATCATATGCAGGATTTCTAAGATGTAAAGAGAAACTCAAGTTAGATATCTACATTTTTTAAGACACAGAACATAGAACAAGCCAGACAGTGTGGCGTATGCCTGAAAGCCCAGCACGCAGGAAGCTAAGGCAGGAGAATCTCTGTGAGTTTGAGTTTAGCCGGAAACACACAGTGTCAGCCTGTCTCAAAACAAAACAAAAAGAACATAGGACAAATGACAAGGCTTGTATGACAGTTCATGCCAATGGTTCTCACATTATATGAGTCCACTCCTATGCTGACACTTTAAAAAAAAGTACAAGTAGGCAAATATTTCACATTTCTAACAAAACTAGGAAATGTTTTAATTCGAAATTTGATCTACCCAAAGTTCAAAACTTTCTGTAGTGCTAAGGAAGCAGACTCATGTTTAAAGTCAAGGAAACATCGGCCCTTTCATCTGTCACAGGCTCACACAGACTAAAATGAGAATCAAGGCAACGGCCTATCTGAGAGACTCATTCGAAATCCACCGCGTCCAGGCAGGCCGGCCAGGCAGGACTCACCTGGCAGTGTCTGGCATACGTAGCCTTTCTTGCTGTCACAGACGTCATCCATCCATTTCCCCGCGTCCCTTATTTTCCCTCCCACAATCACCACACAGTCGGCCTGCATATTTATGGATAGAAGAAGACAAGGATGAATCAACAATTATTAACATTAATTCATTAAAAAGCAAAAACCTCCAATGTTCCTAACTTTCAGACTTTATCACTGCTCTGCTTTATGGGTATTCAGTCCATAGTGGTTTTTGTTCCTCCTGTTGCCACTTTGCATGCGGATCCCTTGCATTTGACTCTGGCTATCCGAACTGAAAATCAAATAGACTGGAATGAATTTGAGACCTAAGACTGGGAAACTCTGCTATCATAAATGGTGCTAATTGCTGCCAAAACTTAGGAACCAAAGACGTTAGGAGAACACAATCTTTCTCCATATGAACGCTCTCCCTCCAAACCCACAAATAGGTATCCTATTATTTAAGGAAAATGAGCACAATCCATCTTTTATTGCTAACTTCATTTATAAAATAACTATGACAGTTTCAGAGTGAATTGCTATCACAGCTAGAAAGTTTCATATCTTCTTTTGGAAGAGACTATGTCAGTGCTGGAAAAATATTGTACTGTATGTAGTTGTGAATGCTTGTATTTCCATGTTTCTGTAAGAATGCAGAACAGCCAAAAGTGAACCCCAAAGAGTGACATAAAACCCATACCTACCAGGGTTTTCATCCAGTATTAGATAAAAATTGTGATTATAACATGTATTGGGCTTTTCTAACTTATCAATTGTAATAATCACACCTTACACACACAATGTCTGACATGGATCTAAATGCTGCCCATGTATTAATTCACTGAAGTTCACATCAATCCTATAACGTAGGTACCACAACTGTACCCTTTTTAGATGAAAGAAATGAAGCACAGGGGAATGAGGAAGCTCTTCCAAGGTTACCCAGGTAGTTAAGTGAAAAAAGTTAGCATCCGAGTCCCGAGTACTCAGTCTCCAAGCCTGCATGTGAACGCCCTACTACACGGGTTCTCTATCAGGAGGAATCCAAGGTGGCTGGGGGCCGGAAGGGCTCCCAAGAAAAGGGTCCTAATTGATAAAGGGCCACAAAACAAGGAGAAATTGGGTATTATCTTGATTGAATGTGACACCTACAACTTTCCTAGCCTGCCATCATGAAGAGAGAGGGGCCAGCATGCCAAGGATGCGGAGAGAAGCCATGGAGAGACCTCCATTCCTGGTCATGCTGGGGAGCCGTGTATTACGTGTCACTGATTACAAGACATATACTCTTCATATTTTAACATTTCTAAAACAGGAGGTGCATATCATAATCAGCAGCATGCCAGAATTTACTTAGTAAGTTCTTTTTTTAGTGGCACACATAGAGATAGTGAATTTTTCAATCAATGGTATCTTAGGTGTGATGAAATATTGTAACTTGCCCTTCAGATTTGACTTTTCTCATGGAGATATGAAACATCCCTTGCTGTTTCAACCAGCTGAACTCTTTTCTTGTACTATGGCTTCATCAGTCTAAGCTTGACCTTCCGCAGAACTGAGCTGTCCTAGCCACTTAACTGTAGGGAGGTGGAGTTACCAGCTTCCACAGCCAGGCCAAACTTTACAAGAAGCTGGCTTCTGATTGCTTAAGTCTCACCTGTATCTCCCTTCCATGGAAATACATATATATTTCTGCACTGACTTAAGCTGTTTTTAATTCTCTTCATTTTTCAAGTCCTAAAATTGTAACAAAACATTGTGTATTTTTATTCCATTTTTGTGAAATGTAAACTTTATATATTTATACATATTCTGAAAAACTCCGAGAGTAAACTCAACAAAAAATAAAGTGGTTTTTTTTTTTGCATGGTAACATTACATATTCTTTTGTTTGTTGGTTTGTTTTTGTTTCTAAATTATTTTACATTCTCAAAACAACAGAAATGTACACTGATGATTCTGATTTATATTAAATTCATTTCTCTCCCACTTATCTTTTTAAGCAAATCCTAACTCACTCCACTTTAACTTCACTTCATTTTCAGCCCTAATTTATGCAAAGAGGATCCAAGAATTTCTCCATAGAAAGATCACTCACCCATCATCAAAATATATCCACCCCGCATACAGGTACTGAGTTGTCATAAAAATCGATTCTGATCAGATCACTGTTTGTATTTATTTTTTCTATCTACCTGACAAAATGAAAACTCTCTCAAAGAGCATCTACAGCTCTCTAAATTCTGCTTTCAAAGCTTACTTGTACTTCTTTTATATATTAAAAAAAAAAACCCTCCTGCCATATTCAAAGCCATTTACTCCTATGCAAACATACATAGTACTCTCTTCTTGAAGACTTTGCTCACCTGGCTCACCTAGCATGGCCTTCTTCATCCTCCTGCCTATTTCCTCTGATGATTATGTTTTAAGTTCCTCATAGAAAGTATTCATAGTTGATTCTCTTTTAGATCCCCCTCTGTAATATCATGCACTGATGGTGGCTTCCACAAAGTTAATGTCAGCCAATTAAATGACTGCACACCACACTGAGTTTTCCTCTTTAATATAGTACTTTATAGATGACCCCTCTTTATGCACTTTCATTTCTCTACTGTCTTCTTCCTTACCTAAGACTTGTAGTCTGGCTTAAGTGTAAGCTTTTTAAAGGTAAAAACAAAATCTTACATGTTTTTCTTGATTATCATAATCCTCGATATGACGTCAGACACCACTAACTTGACTATTCAACTACACACAATCAAAAGTAGTAAAATGAAGACCATCCATAGGTTATTGTAAAAAACCACTCAGGACAATCTGTGGCACATAATAAGCACTCTATAAATATGATCTTACTAATGATAATGATGATGTGGATGATACCTTTACAACTAGTGCTACTGTACAGTAGAAGCTTCCAGGCCCTCCATCCTACAATAGCTGCAAGGGATAAAGGGCAGTTGATCCAAAGAAAACTGATAACCTTAGGTTCATATGTTTGTCCTAATTACTAATTAGGCTTAGCATGGAGCCAGGTCTCCCAACCATTCACTACCCCAATCCCCAAGACAAAGTGTCCTTAACAAAATATATGGCCCTTCTCTCAAGGTAGGCTCCGTCTGAAACAGTTAAAATCTGCAAAAAAGTGCCCACATCAAAGAGTACACTGAGATTATTCACAGGAGATTAGTGAAAAATAAGATGACAACATGGAAGCTGACAATGTATAGAGAGGAGATCTGAAAGCGATATTTACATCTTCATAAGAAAGGCTGCTTCTCCTTCCACCAGGGAAACCTTTCCCCCAGTTGGTATAATCAACTCCTCGTCCATCCGTCCAAAGGAACTTATGCTCTGAATTGACATCGTTCAGCCCAATCCAGGCATTGAAGGTGGATTCCTTCATGTGAGAGACAAGGAATGCTAAAAGAAAGTTTTTGCAAAATGCTTTTAAATTTGGGCATTCATATTCAACATAGGGAAAATATTTTAAAATACGTTAACTTCAAAATTCTGAGCACGGGATGTGAGTCTTTATTATTACTTAAAGGAACTTACCCGGAAAACATTCTAACCTTAGCACCATGGTAGCTATTGAACTTTAGACGTTGGAGGGTTTCCTACAGGGGAAGTGTAGGTTTTATCTAGGCCTCTCCAGACAGGGGTGCAAGCTGCACCCCATTCCAGGGGCACCAGGAAAAGGGGAGAAAGGGAGGCTGAAGTCCATCTGGTGCCCCTCTCTGTGACGTGCACTCCAATTTGGCTGTGCCTGCCTACCAGCCTGCAGAAAGGAGTACATGTCCTAATTCATAAAAGCTCGCCCTATGACTTGGCAGCTGGCCTGATTCTGTAAATCAAATAACCCAATTATAATAAGTAGGAGAGAGGCCTCTTAGCACAGAAAAGTTCTGAAAATCAAAAAAGAGACACCGGGCCCTCAAATCATTAATATCTCAGGCCGCCAACCCAAAGGAGCTACCTAGTCGGGATTCTTCCTGGGCCAGCAACTCCTAGGGATCAGTGACCATCTGTGCCTGTGCCCGGACCCAGGGACCATCCTGAGGCTAGTGATCTCCTCACTGGGTGAGGGCATCTAGAGAAATTCAGAGCATGCGGAACAATGTAGCTTTTTCCTTTTTGAAAACAATTCTGTCGCAGAGGATGATGCCAAATATTTGGAGGCTATAAAAGGTTTCACTGTACATGCATCCACTGCTTTCTTTTAGCTCATCCCTGTGCCTCCTCCAACCTTCAGCTGCTAGCAACAGTGCCCAAGTCATGAACTCCAAGGTGCACAACCACCTGCTCAGTGGAACAGCATTTTGCCAATCTATATGCTTAAAGGTGTCTACTGAATGTAAACAGGAAGCAATGACCTTACATATGGGGTTACCAATAGAAGGTGCAAATTAGATAAAATTGTTTATTCATAAGTAAAGCCAAGGGTGAGAAATAACCAAGAGAGACTATGTAAAGGTGCAAATTTCCAATGATGAATGTCATTATATTGTATACCTAAAATGTACTAGTGATTAGAATGAATAATCGATAAAGCAAAATAGGAAGAAAAGGTCCAAAGGGGTAGGGGTAGTGGGAAGGGCAGGGGAAAGGAAAGAAGGGAAAGGAAAAATGATGAGAAATGGAAATAAAGTCTTTGTAAATAGGGAAGGGTGGGCTAGGGATGGGGAAAAAATAAGAACCAAGATGCATTATGTAAAGGTACAATTCCCAATGAGAAATGTAATTGTGTTGTATACCTAAAATGTATCCATAAAAGAATTTAACAAAAAAAATAAGTAATTCTACAGAGCACTCATGGCTGATACTTATGCTTTTTGCAGAACAGTAGAAGTAGTAAACACTTCATGTAGAGACTGACTTTTTTCTCAACTAAAAATAAGAAAAAAAACAACAACAAAAAGACATTTCATCCAACATTTTTCAGAGAAATAAGAGCAAGGGTAGATATTTATTTTGGTTTTATTTTGTTCCTTAAATAAAATGGTAACTTATGCCTTATCCCTAACCGGAAATAAAATGTGGAAAAGCTCCACCTGCCAATAGTAAGCATTGACTTTTTTTTTAATTGCCAACAACCACAATAAGAATTCAGCAACATGTGTGTTTTGCCAAGAATAACGTTATTTTATCTGAAAATTGTTTCCTTCTGCACATCTCTACTCCCCAGGTTCTAATTTTGTTATGCCAGGAATCAGCACTTTGTGGTTAAGAGAGGAAATCAATTACTGTATTTCTCTGGTGGGTAGCTAAGCCCCAAAAATGGGGCAGGCCAGTCAAAGAAATGTGAATATTATATTCTTTCCTAGTGTGCTATGGTTTGACCCTTTTCTTCCAGTATTTAGCAAGTTGTTGAATTTGTCAAAGATTCTCAGTGAAAGCTTGGTTGGTTTATTGCACGAAGTGTTCTATGAGAGCAGCACTGATGGCAGCATTCATAAACATTGGGGAAAGCATTATGAAAAGTTTTAGTCTCATACTTCTGAGGATATATTATGTTGGGTAGTAAAGGCTTTTGGAGGTCAAGGAATCTCGGAACAAAAGAGAATATTCAGTCTATATTTCTTCTACAATATCCTCGTGAATTTATACACGCGACAAACTTCTACTGAACATCTTTTCTACACCATGTACCAGCCATATGTGGCTCTATAGTATCCATTTGAGCGCCTCCTGTCCAAGCATTTTCATAATTCCTTCCTCACCTCCCTCACCAAGCTCATCTGATCACTTCTAGCTATTGAAATGATCCCTCATTTTGAGCCTAAATCTATTATTTCTCTGTAACTGCCACTCCATGGCCTTAGGTCTTCCTTCTTGGGCCATACACGAAGACCTTTTCAAAGTTCACTTCCTCTCTTTGCCAACTGTTTAAGTTGAGGCTCTTTGACCCATAATTCACTTGCAGTGGTTTCCTAACCCTTCGTCAATTTAGCCTGAATCTCCTGCAGCTGGCCAACATCCTCCTTCAAGTGCCAATCACAAATTTAACTTAATATCTACTTCGCCAAAGGCAGCCCCAAGAGATTATACAGAAGTGACAGGTGCCTTTCTTTTGACAATAAGTCCAATGAATGTTTACAATCTGTTATATGAACACAGCAGGTTTTCTCCTTCAGTGTTCTTCACAGATCTGGCTTATCTTTATGTTTCATAAAAAACGTTTTTCTGAATTTGTTCAAAGTTCATATATATCAGTTTTATTTATCATACGTTATACGATCAAGTGACTGAAAAAGAAATAAATGTGAAGTCAGCAGTTTTTCATTTTATTCTTAGCACTGCCCTTCCGTGATTCTCTGGGACATGGACAGATCTGGTGGAAACAGAATGCAATGCAAGCTGACCAGACGTACATTTGATCCCCAAACCCTCTTCTTACGGGGCAAGTTTCTTGACTCAAGTCTCTCTAAACACTGTTTCCTCTCTCAGGAAACTGGGTACCAATACCTGGTTCACGGAGTTGCTACGAAAATGGGAATGAATTGTATGTAAAAAGCCCAGCAAATTGTGTCTACGATTGAATAACGTCATTTTGAATAAGTGATGTTTACTTGCACTAAAAAAGCAAAAAGGCCGTACAGTCAGCGATGTGTTACCATTTTAGGGGAAAACACACATATTTAAACTCGTCATTCATTGGAGGGTGGTACACGTACCTTGCTCCTTTTCATTGAGTACGGAAGCCAGATTCCCTTTAAATCCTATACAAGCTTTCCGTGCCTCTTGCCAGTTTTTTTTGTCTTCTTCAACAAATCCAAAGATTTTGTAACACTGAGATGGAATTTTAAAAAACAGGGGTTAACTAAAGCTGACTCTAAAGTTGGCTCTAAAGAAATTAGTCATTCCAGATGATTATAGGTAAATACAAATTTTCTCACAACCAAATAGGAACTCTAAAAATGAAGTTAGCTTTATGACTCTCAGGCTGTCTTTGCTAAATTTTAACTCCCGCTTGAGATGAAGATCACAACTATTTGGATAGCATCTCAAATATGCTTTCCATCACCAATGAAAGTTTTTCCTTGGAATCTCCACTTATTCTCACCAGAAACTCCCTAAAATGTTGAGGTGGGTGAAAGTTCATTTTGAGCTGAAAGATGTGCTTTGTCACACTCACACTGATCAATGCCAAGACTGTGACCACCTCTCCTAGCACAGTACCTTGTTGTTGTAAAACTTCCAACCTTCCTTACAGCCCCCTGGGGTAGGGGGTGTGGTGGGCACAGCGGTGGCATTAATGCTGCTATTGTGCCTCTGGCAAATGAAGGGGTTTGGATAACCACAGTTAATGTCATTCCACAAGCCTGGCAAAGAGCAAAAATAGTTAAATTACACTTCCACGCTTATGCTGAAAAACACTTTTTTAGGTATGTACTTGGATTATGTAAGGATTCTCAAGCATAGTTTAGAAAACAATCCAACTTTATATGTTGCACAAGTGACTACAAGAATCCATGTTACTTGTTTTAAGCTGACAGTCGTTCAACTCAGCGGACAGATTTCTAGGGCTACTTGCCGATGCAGAAATATTATCCAGCTAGTAATCACTGGCAAGAATAGTCTAATGACACCTAAGCATCTGCTCGGCTCTAGGGACATTATCTCAGCCTTCTCACCGACAGGTCAATTACGTCATTATTCCCATTTTATAGTACAACAAGAAACTGGAGAGAGAGACAAAAGCGATAGATAAATATACACCAGGTATTTTCCTCAAGTACATGAAAAACTGTTTTATAACTTGGGAAGAAGTGAGAATACTATGTCATTTTTTAGATTAATGGTAAGTATCCTTAAAATTGAACAGTTATGTGGCTAAAATTAGAATTCTCTCTTCTTTTCCTTCGTAGTGTAAGTGCACAACTTGTTACTTTTAGCCTAAGGTTGTAGGAAACGACACATCGCATCACAAAGCACGTTCAAGAAGATTTATGTGCTGTCTACCTGAATCTGTATACAAGGTTACACAATTTTCATCCTCATTTGCAAAATTGGGTTCACCTGGGGCCCAAGACACATAATCCACTTTGCTTCCATCCATCCAACTGGAAAAAAAAAATGCAAGAATTTTTGCAAAAATCCAGTCATTAAAAATAATTGGCTATGGCCTAGAAACAGGAAAAGGCAAGTGAGTGAAGGCGAAGGGAGCACAGGACACCAAGCAAACAGAAGAGGGCACCTAGAGAGACCGACGGGAAAACCCCAAAGGCCTGCACACCGGCTGTATCCCGGGCTTTGTGCCTGCAAGTAACAATCTTGACACTTTGGGTCCAATTTACAAATAACTCCAAATTACATTTAATCTTAAAGTCTCTTATCTTTGTTTTCAGATATCATCAGCCATCAGTAAATCAGCCACTATCAGAGAGATATGAATATTAAATATCTGCTTTCTTTTCCCTCCCTGGAAGAAACTACCTTTAGTCCTGAAGTAAAAGAAAAAAAATGGAGATCCCAGTGACTCCGGAAGTGTCCCAGAAGCCAAAGTTCTCCCATGGTCCTCCTTGGCACCAAACCACCACGGAAAGGCAGCGAGTATCGCGTTACTCACTAGGCCCTTTCTCTGATTCCTATGTTGATTCAGGTTTGTTTGAAGGTAGGTGGGCCAAGGCCTGTTCTCTTAAGTTCTACAAATTCAGAGACAGGAAGATCCGAAAGAAAAAGAGATCATCAAATTTGGCCTTCTCATTTTAGAGATGATAAAATGGGTGCCCATCCAAAGGAAAATCAAATGTTCCTGTTCTTTAGAAATAACAAGCTTGAAATTAGCTCTCCATTGCTCAAAGATGGCCATGAAAGTTCCATAAAATGTATGTGGCTAAGACATGCCTGGCTGCTGTTCAAATTCAGGGGAACATGCATACTAATCAATGAGGAAAGAAACCTCAAAAATGTTCTAATTTTCTCCATCTTTCATTGCTTTTTCTGGCCCCTGCATTTAATAGCAAAATAATCATTCTTTTGAACAAACGTATACTTGAAGCCATTTCTGCTAAGCAATGAGTGAGATAGCAGGAAAATTTTTAAATTAAATTCAAAATTCCTATCTATCAAATACATCTTCTTAGTTGATGATTTGCTGATAACCAAGGATCTCCTAAAACAAAGACAGGTGATACTTTGCATCACTAAATCCAATTTTGAATTGTTTAAGATTAATTAATGTTGAAAATATTTAACAGGATTATTTTCAATTGTTTTTGAGAAATGCTTTTCAGATAGAGAATGCTGTAGGGGTTTTAAAATGTGTTTGGCAAAGCAAAAGTCTCAAAATAACTCAGTATTTTCAGATTGGCTTGTCCTATGCAAAGGTGTTTTGGATTAATTTACTTACATAAACGTTTTATCCAAGCTGATCAATAAACCAATAAAATATGCTGACATTGATGGGGCACCCTTTCGGTTTACCTAGAACATGAAATTTGACATACAGATTAATTTATAACCACATACTAAGCAAGTCCTTAAAACCTATATGTTAATGAGAGCACCTATTTGGAAACTATTCTAAGAAGGAATTCATGCAGAAATGTTGTATATTTTAAATTGGGTTTTTCATAGAAGTAAAAAGAAAAAATATGCACATAATTTAACAACATACATTTATAAAGCAAATGCCTTAAGTCATTCTCTATAATATCAAATGCCTGTAACAGGTGTTGAAGACATCTTTTTTAAAAAAAGTAGCTAGTGAAGATTGTGCATCAAAAGAAATATTTTTCATCTGCATGGATTTAATATTTAATGTAGGTTATAAAGATGTAAAATACTGCATGAATACATTTTAGGACATACCCTGAGAGTTTCAAAGCAAGGTAAGTTCACAAAGATAACAAGTTAGACCACACGATCATACCATTGTAATTAAATGAATTTTTTTCCCTTCAGTATCGATCAACATTTTTTTGCTGTTCTCCCTCCTACTTCTCTGGCAAACAATAACCATACCATAAATATTTTTAATCAGGAAGATATTGGACCAAGCACTCTTAGAAGAAATAAATTAGACCTTCAGTAATAGCTGACAATTTGGGTACAACCAACAAATACTTTTATATGAATAATCATGCTATACTATGTATTAGCCAATGATTCGATCCAACAAATCAGATACTTTAATTAAGAATGAAGCTGTCTGATATACAAAGGGTCTCTGATTGATACATAACAATTAGTTGGAAATTATAAACTTTGAACCACAAATTAATAAACTCAAATATGGATCCTACCAAAGCCCAGACTAAAAAATGTTTCTGGATTCTACAATTCTGCCCTGAATATTCAAACCGTAAGGTATAATTTCCACAATGGCCTTCTCCTTCAGACGTTCAGATCTGTACCCCTGAATTCAGGAGCTTCAAATTCAGCACATAGTTTGAAATTATATCATGGGCTGCCAATTGCAGACATCATCTACATGTATAGCATGTCACTATCCCAGTCTTAACCATATTCTTACATATTTCCATAGAAACTTCTTTTCACTTTCACTTTTAACAGTAACAAGGTCACCAAAATTCCTCTTGCAAAAAGCTCGCGCATTGTCCATGTTTTCCTTCTGTTTGCTAAAATAATATTGGTAATCTTTATAAATAACCCACCCATCTTCAGTGACTGGTGGATCTGAAAACATAATGAGAAAAAGTGATGAGTGTTACTTACATTAAAAGAAAAAAAAAATCTAGTATGGGCAGAATAGCTATGTTAAAGACAATCTAAAATTCTGAGAGCCCACAATAAGGAGGCTGTCTATGGCTAACTTGCCTAAGGCCAAATATCTACTTTCCACCAATCCTGTTAAAACCAGCCAGCTTCTCTTCCCAACCAAACCCCCTGTGTCTTTATCGGGTAAAAGAATTCCCAGTATTACTTTCATCAATCAAATAGCACAGCTGGAAAGAGTTATATACGTGTCCCATGGTGTCCTAGGTCCTACACATGAGAGCTGTGGGCAATTGGATTTCATCCTTGTATAAGAAAGAGCCTCTTACAGATGGACTGGGAACTTTAGAGAAGAACTGGAGAACCAAGGAATTCACATACTAAGAGGTCTAAGGCTTCTTCCAGATCGTGGAGTTTCATGGTTCTAGGCTGTGAGAGGCCAAGGACCCTCAAAGACACTCTGACTCTAATCTCTGGCTCCTGTGAATGTTATCTTATAGTGAAAGCAACTGTGTAGATGCAATTAAATGAAGGATCTTGAGAAGGAGAGGTCCCCCGGATTATCTGGATGATCCTTGAATATGACCCCAGTGTGTCTACAGAAGGACTCAGAGGGAGATCTGATTATGTCAGAAGCAATATGGCAACTGAGGCGAGGTACCACACTGCTGGTTTGGAAGACGGAGGAAGGGAGCATGAACCACCTTTTTGGATTGTGAGAGCTCCCGAAGCTGGTAAAAACAAGGAAACAGATTCTCATCAGAGTCCCTGCAGGGAGCATGGTTATGCTGACTTCTGGATTTTGGCCCAGTGAAACTGATTTTAGATTTCTGACTTCCAGAACTGCGAGGGAATAAATGTGTATTTTTTTAGGCCACCCTGTTGGGGTGACTGGTTACTGCAGCCACTGACCATGTGTTAAGAAGAGGAAACCTGGCCCTTGAATTTGATCCATGGACCCATGGGAAGCTGTACTAACAGGTCTTATGTTTGTGCTTGTGGGCAAGCTTTCACAAGAGTCTCAAAGGTATTAGGAGCTTCTCTCCACCTTCCTAGGTTAGTTTTGTTTTCATTAAGATAGGAAAGAGAAGAAAAAGGCAACTCATACAGAGATCAGAAAATACAGAGACACCTACTTTCTTGTGGTGCTGGGGTTGGCTCTGGATTTGGTGTTTTCCCTGTAAAACAGAGAAAATTAGATATAAATGTGCTCTAATCCTTATATTCTTAGGGGGCAAAACTGCTAAAACTGTTTACCATCCACCCCCCTTACCCAGACACTCAGATTCCTATTCATTCATACCATGGGAGGGCAGTAAAGGAAAAGGATTTAGGAATGAATATTTAAACCAAGTATGTACACTAATGGCCAGCAGAAATTAGAAGACAGTTTCTAGGCACAAATAGCATCATACAAAGGAAAGAGAAAGACATGAGTTTTAGAATCAGGAAGCCTGCTTCCAAATTCCAAGGCTACATGTAAGTTGTTGAGCCCTCATTTTCTCAACTACAAAAAAGGAATGAGTAAAATGCGTAAATGGGGTAAAATACAGTATGTGAGTTATTGGTATATAGTAAAGGGTCAATAGATATGAATTTTTCACAGAATAGAGGATGCAGAAACAACTCTAGGAACATTTGGCCATCTGATCTTTGACAATGGGGCCAAAAACATAAACTGGAACCTCTTTATTAAAAACATAAACATAGTCTCTTTAATACACAGTGCTGGGAAAACTGGCTATACACATGTAGATGATGGAATCTAAGCCCATTTTACTCAACATGTACTGAAATAAAATCAAAATGGATCAAAGATCTAAATATTAAAATAAACGCTTAATCTGCTAGAAGATAAAATAGGAAAAACTCTTGAAAATCCAGGGATGGGCAATGAGCCTCACCTGCAAAAAATAACAATAGTATATAATAATATCAAGAATCAACAAATGAAAAAAAAAGAATCGACAAAAGCTTCAGCACAGCAAAGGAAACTATCAACAGAGTGAAGATACAGCCTACAGAGTGGGAAAACATTTTGCCCACTACTCTTTCAACAGAGGACTGATTTCTAGAATATATAAAGAACTCAAGGGAATTAGACACCCACAAATAAAAGACCCAATCAAAAAATGAACAACTGAAATGAATAAACACTTCTCAGAATAAGAAGTACAAGTGGCCAATACAATAAAAAATATTCAAAATCGCTGGCCATTTGAGAAGTACAAATTAAAACAACATAGATTTAATCTCATGAAAAAAACAGTAATCATCAAGAAATCAAATGATACCAAATTCTGGTAAGGCTGCAGGGAAAGGGGAGCCCTTCCACAGTGTTGGTGGGAATATAAACTAGTACAACCACTATGGAAGTCGGTATGGAGATTCCTAAAAATGCTAAAAATAAAAACTTCATTCGATCCAGCTATTCCCCTTGAAAGTTATCTTCCTGAAGAGTTAAAGACATCATATTATAGCAATACATGCATACCCATGTTTACAGCAGCACAACTCATAATAGCTAAATCTTGGAAGCATACTATGTGTCCGTCAACAGATGATTGGATAAAAAAGTGGTATTTATACACAATGGAGAACTACTCTATTATAAAAAAGGATAAATTTGAGGCATTTGTAGGAAACTGGAATGCACCTTGAGACCGTGATATTAAATGAAATAAATCAGGCACAGAAGCCTAAATATGGTATGGTTTCTCTTATATGAGAAACACAAAGTATAAATAAATTTAAGAGCAAAATAGATAGATACTAGGAAACAAGGTGATCGACCTTTTGTAAATGGGAAGGGGATAAAAGAGATAGAAGGGGGAGGAGGGGAGGAAGTAGACATAAAAGGGATGAAGATGTGTTATGTGCATGCATCAACTCCCCATCATGAATGCAATCATTCTGTGCTAGAAATTAGAAAACATATTAGTTTTCCAGTCAGACATTTTATAGCTAGCTGTGAACTTACAATTGTATTATGTGAAACTATTCCATGTGTACTACTGATTTATAAAACACAAATATATTTTCCTCAAAGACTCTTATTAAATGTATGTTTAAATAAAATAGTTTTCTTTCCAAGCAGTTCATAATATATCTAGATTTTGTTGGACTCTGACAAAAAGACTCGGGTTACCAAGCTTTGGGCTTAATATAGTAAATACTTGCAAGAACAGAGCAAAACTACTAATGATGCAAAAAGGATACTACCAGCCATTGGTAGCTAGGAGACCTTTTAAAAAACCTTGGCCCATTGGAGAAAGAATAAGGAAAATATGGGGAAACAGGAAGGAAAGCAGTAAGGAAAATATGCAGAGCCTGCAGGAGGGCAGGGAGTGGCTCTAGCAGTGGAGTTGGCTGTGGACACAGGTCCCCAACACCAGAGGGCAGTGCAGAGCCCTTCGTCTACCGACAGCCAGCGGAGAAAGCTGATCTATATTCTGGTCCAAGGATAGGTCGGTTTATTTGCTTGTTTTTCTTGACCTAAGACCCAGAATCCTCTGACTGTGATGCGTGACTTGGATACGTGGAACATTCTGAGTCACCATCCACAACAGGGCAGGTCTAAAACTATCAGGAACCTCCAGATGTTGTTTGTTCATAACGTTGAACCTTTCAGAAATCAATACTTAAAATATTCGGACTTGGGGACAATTTTACCTATCTGATAACTAATATAGAAGCTCAGAAGGTAAAATCCCAAAAAAGAGACTGCATTGCCTTTTCCTGACTCTGCTCCACAGAGCAGGACACGCCCCTCCCACCTAGTCCTGCCACAGCAGAACGTGGGCCAGAAGTGCTGCTCATGAGAACGATTCTCGTGGATGTGACTCTTGTCCAGAATTCTGCGGTGGCCTTTTGGTCTTCTGCCCCTTTGGAACATTTATCTGTTGCTCAGCGGCTTCCTTCTGCGTGTTTTGTTTGTTTGGGGTTTTTTTGGTACCGGGGATCGAACTCGGGTCTTTGTGCTTGCGCAGCAGGCGGTGAAACCACTGAGCTAAATCCCCAGCCCTAGCAGCTTCCTTCTTACCGTGCGAAATGTCGACCCCTGACAGATCCCTTATTCTGTTACCTTAGTTGGTTCCACTAATAAAAGGAAGATACGGGGGTGTCAGGTTGGTTTTCGAATCTAGAGGAAGAGTAAGGTAGACGACCATACCTTTTTGTATCTGACAAACCCAATTGTTAAGGTGCTCGCAGTTAATGTCATTCCAGGACATATTAGGGTCACCTTTCATCTCACCACAGTATTCAACATTATTGTAATTATTGGGTTCGCCATAAGCCCAGTTTTCATAGGAAACCTGTGTTAGAAACATTACACTTGATGTTAGCCAAAAGGCCAAGAAAAAATACTCTATCAGAAACATTAAATCACAATCTTTATCATTTATATCAGTCCAATGCCAATCATCTATTCAAGCAGAAAAAAAATATGCATTTTTCATCCATTTACCTTTTTTTCACAGTAGCTTTGCTTTGGAAACAATTTATGAACATGGGTGGGAAAGGAACAGCTTTTATTACATGGAAACTTTTGTAGCTGATGAGAGTAGACAATCGGTTATTACAACATTTTCTTTACTCTCATTAAATAGAATGGATTCAAGCACCACAAAAGTAGGATTTATATATAGGAAAAACTTCGCAAAAGAGTTCCACTACTCAGTATTGGGAAGTTGCTAAATTGGCAACCCATTCTTACGGGTAATATTGCAGTGGTTTTCTGGAAGCTTTCTCTTTACTGGATGCTTAGGATAAAGAAATACAATTAATTCTTCTTACAGAAGAAAATGACCTATAAAATGTTGCTAACAAAGCCACCAAACTGCCAAAATGAACAGCGGACGTAACGGAAAGCCGTGGGCTTGCAGAGCCTACAGTTTTGGGCTAAGCATCCTGATCTATTTTCTTGAGGTATAAATATAAAATCCAAATATTAATGGAGCCATCAAATAGACCATCTCCCCACGTGCCTTGCAAAGTGGGAAGACGGGTTATACAAGAAGGCAGAACTGAAATTATACGCAGTCATTTCCCGTGATGACCACAGAAGCTAAATATTGCCACCGGTGCCAATAACTTCTCATTTCTCCAATTCTGGGAATGGAGAAGTTGAATGAGCCCTGACGGCAACCAGAGGGATTGCCAAGTTGTGCCTACTTGTGCTGATCTAGGGAGGCTCGGTTTTGAAGAAGGGTAGCACTCCATGCATCAGTTTTGTATAGAATGAAGATATTTTAGATAAACTACTGAAATATGCCTTCATTCCTCCTTTTGCATCCAGCCAGCCATACTTAGGCTTAGGCTAAGCAAAACTAAATGAGGCAAGGGCAAAACAGAAACCCTAAATTCATGTTTATTTTGTATAGGAAAATAACTATCACAACAACCTGTCTTACAAAAAATTTGACTAAACCAAAGGATAACAAAAATAAATACATGGTAAAGAAAATGACATAATAAATCAAATCATTCACCGGAGAACCATCAGTCCAGGCGAATCCTTCGGAAGTACCTCCATATGTCAGTCCCAACCAGAACAGCTCATGATAACTTCCAGTGCTCCTACAAAACATAAAGGGGGCATATGCTACTGCACGGAACAAGTTTGGTCACCTGTAAAGATTAACCAGAATCGAAAGCTACCTCCAAAACAAAAGCAGAGAGTGCAGAAGTAAGTAGATTTAACAACTAACAATAAAATGCCAAGATGTGTATCTGGGTACAACCCATAAATATCTTGAAAATAGGGCTCTGTTTGACAATAAATTATTGTAAAGCAGTGGAAGATATTCATTCATTCATTCTACAAATATATAATGGGCATCTTTCACCTTTACAGAGTAATACATTGATGAGTTTACGTGTATAAAATTTAAAAATTCTGAACTTAAACTAGATCAAAGAGGGCCCATGGATTTGAGACACGATACAGGAATTCAGAGTAGCATCCTGAACAAACAACTTCAGAAATATTAGTATTTTCTTAATATCATTCACACTAATAGGGAAAAGAAAGAAGCGTTATATAGAAAAGATACTTACGTTATTAATCTCCATATAGTTTGCTGTTCCTCTTTACTCTTGATAGTGGCTAGCTCTCCACCCAGGGCTCTACAAAAATCTCGAGATTCAAACCATGTTTTCTTCTCATGTTTTCCTTTTGCAAACAGCTAAAGATGAGATGATTTCAGAAATTATTTTATACTTCATAGCTTATCAAATCAGGAGAAATAATCATTTACTTTGGATGAGATTTCACTGATAGAAAAGCAAAACATTCCCATGGCCTGAAACAATGTGATTCTCTTGATTTAAAGTCAATTTATTAGTGACTATTTGGGTTGCAAAACTCAGGGGATGATTTTGTTGAGAAACCCTTAGAAAAAAAGAGAAATAAGATTAAAATCCTAGAAACTGTAGGCATGTGGATTAGGTAAGCAGCTCATTGTGGAAGACAGGATTAATTTGGTTAAGCATGAAGAGCAGCGTTGAAATGCCAAAAAAAAAAAAAAGTTTTGATATGGAGAAGATAAACACAAACAAGGGATATTTTAGGGAAAATGGCCTTCCTGAAATTGTGCCACAGTTTGTTATCCTGTTTCACTTAAACAGGAACCTTTCTGGCAACCTTTCAACGCATTGTTGGTAATGTTCTTCAAAACTACCTCGTTCTTTTTCCTTACAGGTGCACATTTTAATGAGCATCAGAGTATAGTGCCAGAAAGTCACCTGGCAGAAATGGGTTATAAGCCTCACTAAATTTAATAAACTTTATAATTTAGAGACTATATCATACTATCCATAGGACTGCAAATAGAACCATAAATGGAATTCACAGTGACATTCTGGGACATGGCCATCAGTATCAAACAGTGTAGGAGTTCATTGCAGCCACCAACTTTTATAATTGTCATTCATTTTTCCTTGTGATTCATGAGCCTCACCAGCATAGGTTTGTGGAAAAAAGGAATTTGCTTCCAATGGACTATGGCTACCCAGGTGGTAACATAAGACAACTTTGACCTTGATCTGAACTTGACTTCCGCTATCTGATCAAACGTCAAAGTTGTTCTGTTGAACATCTACCTAGATATTGTCCACAGGGGAATTACCAGTTCACTTCCAAGCTCTAGAGATCTCTGCTGCTCCTCTCAAGTAACTGATAACCCTCCATTGGGTGGAGGATACCACCCTCTGGAGGAGGGCTGTATAAGATGAATCTGATTCTTGTTCCGCGATGCAAGATTTCCAGAGGTACTAATAAAATACCTGATTTACTTTGTGTTAGTTTGTTGATACTCTGTTTACAAAATACTTTTCTTCACTTAGCCCATTATATTCCCTCATGTATATATTATGCTTTTAACCCTGACTGGATCACATCAACTGAGTATAACCTTCTTGAGTTAGAGAAGACTAGACAACTTCATTCTGAAACAATTTCTTTCCTTCTTATATTTTTGTGCTCCAGTGCTGGGGATAGAACTCCAAGCCTTGCACACGCTAGCAAGCACTCTATCACAGGGCTACATCCCTCGGCCCTGGCACAAGCTCTTCGTCAGCCTTGACAAACTGTCTCAGAAGGTGTTCCATGCCATACGCTGTCCAAAGGGATGGAGTAAAAGCAATCCTGAGAGCAGAACAGTATCAGCAAGCCACATGGGCCAGGGATTTAGCTCAGTGGTTCTGGCACCTGCCTTGCAAGCACAAGGTCCCAAGTTTGATCCCCAGTACCTAATAATAATAATAATAATAATAATAATAATATAATACTTTGAGTATCAGCAAGCCGTAGATAACAGTTCTACATTTGGCTAAGTCTTTTTCTAGGAAAGACACAACTTATAAGAAAGATAAACAAGACCCAAATCCTTAATTCATTGGAGTGTCTGTTTCTGTTTTTGTTTCTGTTTGTTTGATGGTTTATTTTGGTGAACTTGATTGCATAAGGAAAAAGTTGAGAGCCCAACCTAAGAATACACAAAATAATAGCAGAATACTGAATTGTCTTTTAAGGGCTTTGAGACGTCATGTATGCCTACCTCTCAAAGCCCTCATCTCCCATCATTATAATCATTGGAGGTTAAATCAGAAAAATGGAGCATTCTCTCTAGAAAACCTACGTGGCATTATAGACTGGTCCATCAATTACATTAGCTATAATCTTGGGTTCCAAGAGCAGAACAAAACTGAGATGCAAGAGGATAGCATGACGGAGAACAAAATTTTTCATAAAGATGGAAAGACTTACGAGCTCAGAATAGGAATAGAAGGCCTGGGAGAAAGAAGAGAAACAGAGCACAGGTGGCAATGCCAACCCAAGGAGGAAGACTGTGAGGTGCATTTGCTTCTTCATTATTTCTGTTGTTCTAAATGCACCTGGCCATCAGAATTCAACCAAGGAGCTCTTGAAAACAACTGATGCCCAGGCACTCTCCAAACCAATAAGACCAGATACAATCTCTCCAGGTGGAGCCTAGAGAGCAATGTGTTCTCTGTTTGCTTTCATTTTTAATTCTTAGGGATGACAGATAATTCAAATTCTTTATTACCTTTGTGATTGATACTTACCTTGAAACACGAGCTTGTTTTACTGGTGGTACCCCAATCCTCTGGACATTTGGGCTCAGGAGTTGTCGTGGGCTCTGGTGGGCGAGTTACTCCTTCTGCCCAGTGCTTGCACACAAATTTTGCCCTTTGGTCACATTTCAGAACATCCCATAAGCCCCCTGCAATCCCAGTCTTCATGGCAACGCAACCTGCCTTTCGCCCTGCGTTAAACATTAAACACATAAAGTAGAATTCACTTATCAAGTGCTCACCTAATGTTATGGTTCAGATGGTGAATGTGCCTCAAAGCCTTGTGTCCTCAAAGGCAGGACGGGACTCTTGGAAGGTGACTGGATGGTGGGGCACTGTGTTCATCAGTAGGTTCGTCTGCTAATGAGTTCAGCTGCTGAATGTGCGGGCAGGAGCGGGTCCTGGCTGGAGAAGGGTCACTGGGGCTGTGATGCAGAAGGGTGTATCTCCCTCCCAGCTCCTCCTTTCTCTCACTACTTTCTGGCCACCGTGATGTGAACATTTTCTTCTGCCAGACCCTTCTACCATTCCCTCCTGCCTTGGAGCCAGCCAACTATGGTCTGAAAACTTGAGCCAAAATAACCTTTTCTCCTTTGAGTTGTGGGTGTTGGGTATTTCTTCCTAGCAATGAAAAAGTGACTAAGACACTGAAGACCTACCATGCTCACAGGAGACAACTCAAAGCGGAGTGTGAAAGAGTGTGCTAAAAACCTGTGCGCAATGAGAAAATTAAAGAATCTATTGTAACACTGTGCAGTTGGTGTGTGCTATTTCACACCATTCTTGGCTTTTGTTTGTGTGGTCTATATCCTGAACTGAATTATGATATTAAGTTAGAACTTTTATAACATTTTGGATTTCTAACATCTGCCAGGGTGCCCCACACATAGACATTTAATGACACAGTATATTTAGTATGATCAAATATGCCATAGTGGCAAAAATACTGATTTAATGGATGTTTCTTCTTCCTCCCTTCCCCCTTGGGCTCCAGTGTGATGTATTTTTTTATTCCCTAAGGACATTCCAGGCTTCATCTCTCAGAACCCTACTGCTGAATGAGCAACAGAGGCAAAGTAAAAGCTACAGAATAAGAAACCAGTCTTACCAGGATTTTTAAAAAGTATGCATTCAGTTCTTAATATATTACTCAGTTATTTTTAATTATCTAAAATCTTAGCATTTTTCATATAGTTTAATAATAATTTTAAAAGAATCATACTGTTCTTCTTATTGATATATTTTCCTTATAGAAAGCTGAAAATGCAAATTAAAATGATTCCTAGAGATTAGGATATATTAGGCAAAGTAGTAAATTCCTACTCTTGGGCTATTATTCCATTTTTAGCTTTTGACTCAGGTACAGTGAAATATTTCCTACAAAGAATGTTGAGTTCTCTGGATGTTATCACATTGAGTCACGTTGTATGCCAGTGGTACCAGTGTAGAAAGAAGACAAAGAATTTCTCAGACTCTATTTCAGAAATCACAGCCCCTAATTATGAAAGATGAGCTGTCAAAGTTGATAGCTGGCTGGTGGATGCAAGTACAAACAGCACAAGTTTGGCAGCTACCTCCATTAGTCTAAACCCATGCTCAGAAATTTTCTAATCACATAAGTTTCTTGAGTCCCAATTTCAATATCTTTTAAATGAAGATATTTAGGGTTATCTTCCAGGGTTCTTACAAGGACAGAATAAAATCCAAGGCAAATACAAGGCTAAACACAGTGATACATTCAAGATAATCAGAATAATAAATTCTACATAAGCACTACATTTACCCCACCCCTCAAAAACACTAATATTTCCATTCATCGGTGCTCTGAAAATCTTTACATCCATTTCATATAGTGTTAAGTTTTCAAAAATAAGATGACTATTTGGCATATGTGTGACCACACAGAATTTCATAAGTGTTTTTCAAATAGACCAGAAGCAAATAACTAGCAATTTTCTCTTCCTTTTTTTTTTTTTTCCTTAGAACACTGCAAACTCATTGGGATTTGATTAAAAAGGAGAGGAAAGGAAGAAAGTAGAAACATTAAAAGTTATCGAAAGCACAATGAACTTGCATGATCTACTTGGCTGCACGGCCTACTTGGAAAGGTACACGGAGGGGTAACTGCCCTTGCTGGGGGATGGGCAGGGTGAACACAGCCCTCTCTCGTACCTGGCATGTCCGCATTCCAGTGTGTGAACTGGACCTCCTCCTGCACGGTCCACTGAAAGGTCCCTTTGATCTGTACATCCGAAAGTCCTGTCCAAAAATATTTTTCAGGCCTCAATCCAACCAAACTAGTCAGGAATGCTTGTTCATATCTTTAAAATAAAAATTAACATTCAACTAGTCTTTAGGAACATTTATGTACATTTTTAATTATCAACCTGAAAACTATCTCAGTTCTATGATCTATGATTCAGTTGGTAATCCAATGTATTTTGTTTATATGTCATTTGAATTTTAATAATTTCCACTAGAGAAATGTTAGTTTACAAGGGGAAAATGGCACATAACTGAGCAAATAAAATGATTTGAGATACTTAGATTATTTCTTCCTAGCTCTATATACCCTTGGTGCCCTTCCTCAAAATTGAAGAGAATTTTTGAAAACAATAATTGTGAAATCGGCAATTTTTAAAAAATTGTTTAAAAACTCAGTTCATTTTTCAAATCAAGTGCTCTACTTGATTCTTGATTAAGCACATAAAGAGAAACAGTAACACTATCAAAGATAATACAAATGGAATAATCTAATGGATTTCCCGCATAAATTTCCTATCTCAGCCACGAAACAAAAAACTATCAAGAAATACAAGAAAGCAGATCCAATTTCTAGAAAGAGCTGGGATTGGAATGAGGAATTCTAACATGCTCCCCCTGCCCAGATTCTCATCTATGGAACTGGTATAAGCCAGTAACAGTACAATTCAACTGGCAAGAGACACCCAGGGCGGAAAAGGAGGGTGAGGAGACCCAGCAATAACTGAACATGTATCACATAGTCCGAATAACTTCATACCCTAAACAGAGTGAAAAAACAATGAAAAGGTCCAAAGGCAATTACTGTTCTTAAAAGTCTGAAAACCAAATTTAACAACAGAGTTAGTGAGCTCCAGAATACAAATATCATAGAAAACATCTAAAGAAAACCAAATATAAAATGTAGTGAAATCTTGTACATGGTTTTCCAATAGACCAAATATAGCACAGACCAGAAAATGTCCCCAGGAGCAGTTTACTTCCCTTGATATAAGCTAAAAAGTATCTACATTATGATTTCCAGATATGTGCCTTGTATTAGCATGTTATGGAAAGAGTGTAAGCTGAAAATTGTTCTTTTATAAAGACTGCAAATTGCAAATGTTATGTGATGGTCATTTTTATAAAAGGATTTTTAAAATCAGTCATACTACCTAGATTTTTATTGGGCCTGCCTTGAAGTCGCAATAAATTTAATGTATTATATTGAAATTCAACAATTGTTTACTTCTTCTAATGGACATTTTCACACTTCTTCTAAGTTTGTGTCTGCTGTTATCCAAGGCTTTGAAAAGAGTGGGTGAAGAATAAGTCAATAATTCTCAAACATGGATGGAACCCTAGAGATCCAAATCACCTAAACTCTCCTATGTTCATTTGATTTTATCAACCTATCAGCATATTAATGAAGCAAAGCAAAGAAATTAAAGGAAATATGGAAAGAATGAATAGAGGATTTAGTGTGATATTGTAATACTTATCTATTATATAGGTTTTTGTCCACAGTTCCATGCATAACTCTGACCTACCCTGTCTGACAGTAAGCAGGTCCTAAGCCCCACCCCCTCAGTCCAGAGGGCTCCTTCCCCATGCTATGGAGCAAGGAAGGCAGCACAGAAAGGCCAAGAAGACTCTGAACAGCCAGGCCTTACAGGGTTGCCCCACCCAGGCTATTAGTGACCACACCTAGGCAATGCTATCTCCATAAAAACCCCAAAGGAAAGGGTTCAGGGAGCTCCCAGACAGCTGAACACATGAGGTGCCCCAGAAGTCCATGCAGCCAGAAAAGTCAAGGGAGCCCCAAGCCCCTTCTCCTACACCTCACACTGTGCACCTCTTCATCTGTATCCTTTACAATAAGCCAGTACGTGTAATGTTTCCCTGAGTTCTCAGCTGCTCAAACAGATTAGCTGAACCCAAGAAGAGGGATGGGAACTCCTCTCTGTAGCCTGACTGTCAGAAAGAAGCACAGGCAGAAGAACCCCGGGCTTGAGGCTGGCATCTGAAGCCCTCAGTCCAACTCCATCTCCAGAAAGACAGTGCCAGAGGTGAACTGGGTCAGAGGATGTCCAGCTGGTGTCCAGAGCAGAACTGTTTGCTGGCTGGTGGTGGGAAATCCCCACACCTGTGAGGCCACAGGCGATCTGTGTTGTGAGTGGACACTGGGAAACACTGAGTGTGAGTCGGTCTTTCCTTCAGTATCCTCAGGTTCAGTTCTCTCTGGTCTCTTTGTGGTGGAAAGAATGGTAAAGATAGACTGCAGGCTTTTGAGCTGTAGAATTTTACTTCCACCTCTATAAAATGTTGAGGAATAGATAGAAAAGAGTTAAATCTATAAACTACATTCAGGAAATTACTAGTGAACTGTTCTGAATGTTGCTGTATAGGACTAAACATAATAAAGTATTTTATAGAGCCCGGGATTTAGCTCAGTGGTTTCACCACCTGCTGTGCAAGCGCAAGGACCCAAGTTCGATCACTGGTACCAAAAAGAAGTTTTATATTGTTTGCAATGAAGCATCTAAATAAGAACATTAGTTTTGATGTTTCTGCCTTTATAAACCATACCTCAGGATCACATCTAATTTACTCAGAAATTGGGAGGATTCTGATGCTTAGGATTTTCTGAAAACATTTTACTCTTTGAAACAGTTTAAAATGAAATTAAAATAGTTACATACCTGTCTTCAATAGTTACTAAATAAGCCTTCTCATTGTTGCATGTTTGGTTTGCTTCTGTAAATGTGGACAGTGTGTTTCCAATCAAATAGCAGTAGAAGCCATGTCGTTTCCAGCCCTGTTAATATCATCAAGCAATAAAGAAATAAGCAGATTATCATGCATATTTACTAGAAAATATTATTTCATAACCATGACACAAACTCATAAACAGTAGAAATGTCTAAAGGACACAACTTTGAAGGGTCTGAAATGAAAATTTCATAGATGAATAAAGGAAACAGGAGTATATGGCTCCTCATAGGACAAATTATAAGACCAAACTGAAGGGAAAGGACGTCATTCTCTCCAACTCAGATGCATGTTCCAAGGAAGACTATTTGTGAAGTGTTGAGTCCCTGATGGGAATGAACAGAATGACAAAGCTTTCAGAAAATAATCTGGGGAATAGCAAGCCTAGCTACCTATTTAAGCCGATAAGCGGTAGAAAATACAAAGCCCTGTTATCTGGTCATAGGAGAGTCCTCATCACATCTCAGGCAACATGGTTTGAAATGGCTGCTCTCCTATACCATACTTCAAATACTCAGAAATACTAGATGAAAACAGGACAACATGCTAGAGTTTGAGAAGAACAAGGGGCACTCTCCAGATACCAAAAATACGTAGAATACTAAAAGCAGAATGAAAGATGCACCAGCTGTTCTTGCATGTATCTTGAGTATATACAATACAGATTAAGGTCCAACAGGGTTGGAATATTTCTGTCCATACAGAATACAATATTTTCTCTTTAACCCAACTGGGGCAGGGAGTGGAAACTGAGGTCCTTGTATGAAGAAGCCACAACTAAGAGCAGACCTTTCTTGAAAGGAGAACTAAAAAATTCTAGCCACAGAAGCCAAAAATGATAAGAGTTGTGTCATCATCTTGAGGTTCTAAATTCCAGAGAAAATAAATATCAACTGTGTGCCACAGGTGGGTGACAGTTCTGACTTTAAACTGTTCACTTGTATTAAAATGCACAGCCCCAAAATTAGAGTAGTACTTTTTCTACAAAAGGGGAGGCTTTGGGGTACTCAAAGAAATAAAATGCAAAATCAGACAAGAGAAAAATTTCAACAAATCAGGTCACGGAGATAGCAATGGGAATGAATGTGGGCACTACCTCACAATCAAAAATTACAAACCATGGAAGAAAATGTCCCAATGTAAAGGAGAGTCAACAATTTATTATAACAGAGCAATCGGAAAACACAGTCTAAAAATGAGCATGTTTGAGATGATTTAGTGACTAAAGAAATAGAACCAATAACAAAAGATCAAAATACTATGCACAAAGAACAAGAAGATTTGAATCAATACAGAAAATTTTTAGGGAAAATATATAGTAACAATCTTTAAAAAAACCCAATGGTCAGATTATATATAGTAGGGTTTCAGAGAAAATTAATAAATAGGATGACTATAGCACAAAGTGGGGTGAAAAAGTAAAAAGGGGTTAAACAACAATGAGATTCAACACTGACCTAAGTTACAGAGAAATGAATAAAATGAACAAATGAGAATTTTCAAGGATTGAAAGGTATGAATCTTCAAAATGAAGAACTGCACTGCGTATGAAAAAGCAAAAACAAAATAAGTCCTAATCTAAATACATTGTGATAAGCACCCAGAATGCTAAAGACAGTGAGATCTTAAAATCAATCAGAGAAAAAAGACAGAATATGCACTTAAAAGGAGAAGAATTAGTGAATAATAAAACTCTAATGACAAAAATAAGGGCCAGAAGAAAACGAAGTAATACACAATTTGTCGTCCAAAAACAGCTGTCGATCTAGAATTCTGAACTGACACAGTTAAGCAATTAATCAGAATGAGGAATTTAAGACATCTTCAAACAGTTTTCTGCTACTGGGTATTCAGTGAGAGAACTAAAAGACTGACTCTGGAAAGAAGGAATTTTAAGACAGGAAGAACGAGAAGCCAAACAAGTCTATATTGACCAAGAACATAAACATCTTAGTAAAGGCAGGCCTAATTGGTTGCATAAATAACAATGATAGCTACTCAGGGGGAGGGGGAGGGTTAAAGAATGGAACAAGAATAATATAGGTAGTTAACAGGATCATGCCAAAGTTACTTACTGGGTTATTATAACATACTCTACTTAGATAAGCTGTTATCAATGAAAGAACCTGGATAGATGATACTCTCCACTATTTTTGCAACTTCTTTTGAGTTTAATATTATTTCAAAATTTAAAGTTTAAACCATAGAAGTGGAATAATAATTCTCATTTTGTTCAGGCATCAGATATAGATATTAATTTTATCCAGTCAGGAAAATGTAAGATTAATTATTCAAAATTAAAAGTAGAAAGTATAATTTCCATATCTATACAGGAGGGAAGGGGAATAAAGATCACTCAACCAACAGAATGCATGAAAAGAGAAAATAGAAACCAAAGAGTGATAAAATAAAATACAAATAAGATGGTGGAAATAAATCTAAATATATCAGAAAGCATAGCAAACCTAAACGCATCTGTTCACTAGTTAAAATCCAGAGTTCCTCAAATTAGATTAAAGCAAGAATGATGATATTAGATTAAAGCAAGAATGACATTCGTCAAAGTTAATGATATGCCAACATTAATATTAAATAAAATCAACTTTAATGGTAAAAAAGGCATTATGAGGAATTAAGTAATTACATGAGAATTAAAGGATTCATTCATCAGGAAGATATAACTACACAGCCTCCAAAGCATATTAATTAAAAACTTCCAGAATTATAACCCAAATATTTTGTCAAGTAGGAAAAATATTAAAATGTAGACTATCTAGATAATACAACTGATAAATTCTATCTAATCAATATAGATAGACCTCTGGGACTCAATGATCAATGAAAACTCTACTGAATCACATGAAATATTCTCAGAAACTATGAACTAGGCCATAAAGAAAACTTCAACAAATAACACCCAAGAAATCTTTATATGATCACAATTATCAAAATCAATAATATCCCTCAAACATTTGGAAAATAGATAAAATGCTACTACCAAAACCCCTACCACTACCCTCTCTCTCTCACTTTCTTTCTCTCTCTCTTTCTCTGAAAAAAATGAATCAAAGAAATTCCCATGGAAATAAAAATATTTTGGCTTGCAGCATAATAAAAATACCAAGTAAAACTTGGTGACTAATCCATGATTTTAACTCCATCTTTTCTTTCTATAAGCATTTTACAACACATTTATTTTAAAGTCACATCTATTAATCCCTCCTTTTATAACAAGGATTTATATTTGCATTTGTCGGGGAGATTAGACTATTAGCAACTCGGACCACTTTATGTTAATTTCTTGATTTAGGGCAGGGATGGCAAACCTTTTAGAGCTTTCAATGATATCAAACAATCAGCTGCGGCATGCATGCCATGGGTTTGCCACCTCTGGTTTAGGATATCCTAGTCTGATAGCACTGAACAGAAAGTTGAGTCTCAGATCTATATGATAACAGGCTTGCTGTTTTGAACTTTGAAAAAGAGCACTACACCACATGTGCTTAAACAAAATATGTGCCTTGTTAGCTCCCTTTGCTGGTAAGTACATTTTTTTCCCTGTCTTTCTGGTCCTTTGAGAAAGCAGCTATTTCTCAATTGGCCAGATTATATAATCTCTCTGAGCTCTGAGTTCCTCTTCTTTCTACTTAGGACAATAACGATTCTTCTGTAAGATTATGAGAACATGGGCTGGGGATTTAGCTCAGTGGTTTCGCCGCCTGCTACGCAAGCGCAAAGACCCGAGTTCGATCCCTCCCCGGTACCAAAAAAATAAATAAATAAAAGATTATGAGAACATAATAATAACTGGATTTGATAATGGTTGCTCTTTTTTATTACTATCCTAAGGACTAAATTGGATTGCCAGAGGTTGATAAGTATGTGACAATGGAAAACTATGCAACTTAAACTGTGTAGAGGGAATATGTTTATTATTTTAGTAAACAGTAATAATATACAATCTCTTGTCCATGCCTATGATTAGACAAAGAATATGTAAATGTGCTGGTGGTGAAACAGTGTAGTGACCTGGATCCAGGGGGCAGGGGTGCCAGTCTCACCTGTATTAACTCTAAGAATGCCATGCAGCTTCAGAATCAAAATCAGATACAGAATTTTGACCACCGGTAAGATCCTTCATACTGCCAACATTTTACGATTTTCTGTTCTCTGCTCTAATTTTTCTTTACGGTTTATTTTTGCAGGTCCAGTGGTGTTTGTTATAAAGTGATATGACCACAATCTAACACCCTTAGGAAGACAATGAGTTCCTACTTCACTTTTATTGAAGCGGGCGAAGGGTGCACAGGGAATGGGGAAAAAATAAGAACCAAGATACATCATGTACAGGTACAAGCACCCAACGAGAAAGGTAAACGTACTGTAGACCTAAAATGTACCAATAAAAGAATTTAAGGAGGAAAAAAAAAAGAGAAGTGAGAAAGGACAAAAGAGGAAGATGAGCAAGTCAGCAATCAAACAGGAAAGTGATAATCATAAACCTGCAAAACTATTTTTGTAGTTTCTTTATGCTTTTCAAAATTATCTTACAGACACGTTTGCTTTATCCTCCAGGAACCGTAAGACGCACCAGGAGGAGCTACCAACTGTCATCAGGAGGCTGAGGCACAATATGCTGTAGAGAATTCCCAGAGAAAGCTTAATTAAGGAGGACAGTGGCACCAAACACAATAAACCATGCAGTATTTCCACAGCGGAAACATTTAGCACTAATGATAACGGAGTGTTTTCTCATACACTGCACTGGCAACTGCAATATCTGCTCATCTCAGATCACTGTGAGCATTCTGTACTCACTCTCCGGCAGCCTGCTTCTTTTTCCACGGTTCCCGGAGCTTGGGCTTGGGCTTTCTTCTTGCAGATGTAACCAAGTGGCTCCTCACAGGCCCTATCTGCCCAGAACCCATCCTGCAGAAAGCAGAGAGAAAAATATGATTATTTGTTGTTTGAATTTGATGCCATTTTCTCGTAATTTTGACTCAGAGAAGGAAGACTACAATCTAGTAGTCAGTTCTCCAATTAGAGTGACACTTGTAAATTACAAATTTGATGGTCCACTCCTCAAATAATTCTTGTTTCTTTTTTGTTTTGCTTTTTCTAATTGGAGTAAAATATTCATACAACTTACCATCTCAACCATTTTAAGTATACAGTTTGTCTTGCATTATGTACATTCATATTGTCATGCAACTATTACCATTTTCCATCTTCAGAACTTTTTCCTCATCCTATACTGAAATTCTTTACCTATTAAACAACAACTTCCTATCTTGTTTTGCCAGCCCCTGGGCAACCACATTCTACTGTATCTGAATTTGACTTCTATAAGTACCTCACATAAGTAAAATCACACAATTAGTGTCCTTTACGTAATGCTTATTTCTTGACCTTTGACACTAATGATCCTACCCACCCTCTTAACTCTGTCTCCTTTCAGTTCCTTACCAGAATGACGCTCTCTGGTTTCTTTTACCTACCCTTAACATCTACTCTTTTCTTTAGCTTTCAATCAATCATGATTAAAACAATAACAAAAATAGCTAATATTTACCGTACAATAAGTTTGACTCAGGAGGCTGCATACAATATTTGCACTAAGCCATTAAATTCTTACACCCACATATGAGCTGGGTACAATTATTAGCCCCACTTTGCAAATGGAGGAAGAAGTCAGGAAGCAAAACCTAGCTTCTTAATCACCACATGCATTATCAACAATGGTAATTTGACAATACGCATCAATCACTATGGTCATATTAGGAACATGGATGCAATCATTTTATGCAATGCCTCCAAGTAAACAGAAAAATCGAACATAGCTCTGCAAGTACAGACCCCAAGGTATGGAACAGATCTAACTAGGTCTCTGTCTCCACAGAGCAGCCAAGTGAAGGTAGAACCAAGTAAGAACAACCTGAGTAATAATTACAGGTTAATTGTATCCTTATACCAAAAGTTTCTGTCTGTCTTTGAATGGTCTCCTTGAAATTTTGATTTTGCTAGACAACCAAAGGAGTCTAAAGGAACTGAATCTAAATCAGTTCTTTGATTTACGTCAACTGATCTCAAACCGAACCAGTCCCCACAGACACCCTATGGGACAGCAGGAGGCCGCCCCAGGCCTTGGACTAGATGTCAGTGGGGCCACTCACCTTGCCCTTCATTACCACACAGTCTTCCTGCCGGTTGTTCTCATGGCTGGGTTCTCCGCGCAGCCACTTGGTAAATGTTACAGGGGTCCCATCGCTCCATTCAAAGAACATTTGAATCTTGATATCATTTAAGCCGATCCACAGCTCATCACTGGGCTCTGAACAGAAAGAAAAACACAGAAGGTTGCTTTCCAAGCTCTGCCGGCATCCAGAGAGGAAGGCTCTCTTCTTTGTCAACACAGTTCCACTCCCTTGGCCCCCTAACTGTCATGGAGATAGTCGTGTCCTCAAGGGAGGGTCATGTCCACTACATTGTATGTTGCCCATTTTAGATTGTGCAATGTTTTCTTTACGTTGTAAACATGACTTTGCTTTTTTCAGTTGCACTATTATAAACTGTGTCTCCTGAGATTTAGGAAAATGAAATTGAGTGAAGTCTATTACCACCACCTGTCTTGTGAAGCTGGTTTATTGTTGTAGCAAATAAGTTTATCACGTCAGTCACACTCATGTTGTTGGAAATACAATCTCCTGTGTATAGAAACCTATTTGACTAGTATTAAATCTTACGAGTGCAGTAAAACAACAAATTCAAAATCGCTTCTATTCTACCTGCTGCTGCTATCAAGCACATTCTAGATTCTTCCTTTAAAGTCTTATCACTCTATTAGGACTGAAAATGATCTAAACAGTGAAAGAACAATAAACTGAGGAAGACAGATTGGCTTCTGACATTTGGCATTTGTTGATTATTCTACAGACATAAATGAATCTGTAACTTTCACAAAAAAAAAATTGTACAATGCCAGCAAAATGCAAACAGCAAGGTTAAAATCAAAACAAACCATACGGACTTAAAACGTGATCATTTTGTTTTGAAATTCTATAAAGAACATTATTATTTATAAGCAGTTATCATTCTGAAAAATTCTAAATATCACAACAAAAATGAGACAAAGTACAGGGACTGAAAATCTAAGATTTCAGGGATGGAAAAATAACATTTCCAAACTTAAAAATTAAAGAAAATATAATTCAATATCTATTTAATTTGGGTGACTGAGAATTCTGCCATGAAAGTTTGATATATGACCTTTCAACAGTAAAGTGAGATGATGCCCAAGGATCGTAAATATAATACGTTAAAAAATGCAGAAAATCCCTACTTATGTAGAATTTCTCTAAGTCATTTAGTTTCTTCCTCCTCAAAGTTGTCACTCAACTCTGCTTTTGGAGAAGTCCTGGGCTGGCCCCAGGCCAGCTCTGGCAGATGTTTCCAGTGTCCTGAAACATGAATGACATTGCCAGGGTGATCTGCTTTCCTTTCACTTCCGTTGGCAATTCAGGATCTTCTGAGCAACAAATATAGGCTTCAGAGACACCTCACGTGCCCCTCAAGGATTGCAGTGGAAGACCAGTGTGAAATTAAAATCTCCAAGTCCACAATTACAATAAAATATTAAGAGTCTACTCTACCTATTTTTCCACTAAACTGCTCTGCCCTTATAGAATTTGTAATTCCTAAGCGCAACCTTGATCCCCAAAAAATACCTAATAAGTAGGCTGGGGATTTAGCTCAGTGGTTCTGCCACCTGCTGCCTCACAAGCGCAAGGTCCCGAGTTCGATCTCCACTACCGGAAAAAAGAAAAAGAAAAAAGGAATTGTACACTCACTTATTAGGTTTTTTTTTCTTTTTTGGTACTGGGGATCGAGGCAGGCACCAGAACTAAACTGATTTTTATAAATGTGTTCAAGAAGTTGTGTTAGTAAAGGCAACTTTGTATGCAAGCTATTTATCTACAATTACTTGAAATATATTTCTATGATTCACATAAAACCAGCTAAAACAGGTTTTCAAAAGGTTTTGATCTAGAAGCAATAACCTTAAATTTACAACTTTTCTTTACCTTTATCAAGATTATTTTTAATTATTATAGTATTGGAATATAAGAGCTATTGTGCTGTAAATATATTCCTTTTTAATAAACCCTTTTTAAAAATGGAAGGTTTTCTAATTCATTGACAAATTTTCAAGCCGACTTTCAGAGCATTCTTCGTCATCCAGCCTCCCAAAGGAACTGCAGCAATCAAATACATGGTTCTCCCAGCACTTGTCTCATGTTGCAGAAAGTGATCAACATTTGTACTCTAGTCTTCTACACCTTAACTGACCTGTTTCCCCACTGACTCATCTGTAAGCTACACCAGCTATGGCGAGCACCACAGCCACCCTAAGGAGCTGTGAAGACATCCATTGTGATTACATTATCGTTTAGTCTGAATTTCCCAGGCTAAGGGCACCCAACTAGGAAACTCGACAGGCTGCAGCAGGCTGTTTCCTCCATCCCGTCGTCACAGGGGTGCACAGCGGAGGGCGCTGTCCTCCGGACACAGATGCAAGGACGAGCAATGTTTCCGGAGCTTTCAAAACTAAATGTTTTCCTGCTACTCCCTGTTTGTTTCTCATCAGTCTGTTGATCGCTGCCCCTCCCTACCCTCTGTCAGTCTCCGGGTGCCCTGTGTCAGGAAGCTGCCTCTTCCATCCCCACCATCCATTTCCTCTTGTTTTGCTGGGTGGAAATGAAGGGCAGCTGCAGCGATTCAGCAGCCGCTTCAGGGAAAGATGGAAACCATAATCATTTCATCAGCAAGTACTGCAGAGAGCCCGAGATCACTGCTGTCCCCCTCAGTCCGCTCTCCTTTGGGACATGCGTTCCCCACTCACGTCACTCATCTGTTCTTTTATTTCTGAATAGTACATTTTCCAAGTATTTCGCTTTTTTTAATAAATGTTTGCAGTTCGTAATGATTATATTTATCACGGGAGTTAGGACGTGTACATACACATCATTTTTTCTCTCTCTTTTTTTTGTCCCCTGCCTCCCCCATCCCTCCTGCTTCTTCCAGCTCTGGGTCACTCTCATTTCCGAAAGTTCTCTTTCCATATTTTCTTCAATTCTTTTTTTATCTCCTTTCCCTCACCTTCCTTCCCTTCCCCCCATCTCTTTCCCATTTGAGAACGATCTCCATACATCCTAGTGTTTATCTTTTATTTTGCTCTTTATATTTTGGGTTTCTCATATGAGAGAAACGATGCATTATTTAAGCCTGTGTGTCTGATTTATTTCACTTAATATTATGGCTCAAGTCGCATGCATTTTCTCACAAATGCTCAAGTTTATTCTTCCTTATGACAGAGTAATACTCCATTGTTTAGAAATGTCATGTTTTCTTTATCCATTCATCTGTTGATGGGCAGATAAGCAGTTTCCAAGATTTAGCTATTATAAATTGTGCTGCTGTACACATGGGTATGCAGGTATTACTGTAGTATAATGACTTTAACTGTTATGTACTCAGGGACCAAAAACACACACTGAAGGAAAGATCAGATAGCCTCTTTAACAAATGGTGCTGGGAAAATTGTCCATCCACATGCAGAAGATTGAGCAAAGTATTTTTAAAATTAGATACCTACCATATTTCTTTTCTATTATGTTATTTTTAAAAGTTTAGGCCAACACCTAACCACTACAAAAAGAATGTCCCTTTTCTTTTATTATTCAATACCCTAGCAGCAGGAGCTGGATTAATAGAGAAAAGAAAGTCCAAAATGTGAAATGCTTCATTTAGAGATGCTTGTGAGATAAAATATGGACCTTAATAAAGAAAATACGCACATACACATGCAAGTAATTCCAAAAACAATCAAACATTTGTTAAGTTTAGAGCAGGTATTTCTGAATCTAGATTAGATGTAGAAAAATATTCTAAAACTACCCATGAATTGATAACATATTAATAGAAAAATAAATTGAACTATCTTTTAGTGATAAGGATTTTTAAGTTATTACACAATCTTCACACGGTAGGGCATACCTTGATTGTTATTAAATCTACCCTGCTAATTTAATTTTCAATTAAAATTTGTGAGACTTAATATTTGTGATTACATTTTCCAGAACAGATGGGGAAGAGAAGGGACTTGATTCAAGCGTATTTCAGGTTTGAGTTTCTCACCGTATCCTAGCTGGGAGATGATGAAGTCGAATTCCTCAATGGTGTGAATGCTGGCGAGGTCCCCTCCCTCCTTCCGACATGCAGTCAGGGCGTCTCTCTGGATTTTCTTCACTTCTCTGTGAATCTTGTAACATTGTCCTGCATACAGCCACCACTGACTAGGACAGCTACTAGGCACATCCGTTTCTAGGGAAGGAAGGTTGGGAAACATTGAAAAGAGAAGATTTCTTTAAAAGTATAACAATATTTTCCACCACTATACAGAGAGAGCAGTTCAGAAAGATAAGTAAATAAAAGCAATATTTATTATTCCATTTAGGCATATATATTCAAAAAAGATAAACCAGACATTCGGATCTTGTTTGTCTCAAGGCTAAAAAAGCGAAACCACCCATCTTTCACTGTAAAATAAAACCAAGCAGGAAGTTTCTTTTTTTGGTACCAGGGATCGAACTCGGGTCCTTGAGTTTGCGCAGCAGGCAGCGAAAAGGAAGTTTCTTTTTAAAAAATTTTCTAGGCACCAAGATGACACCAAGATATGATAACTATCTAATTTTATCAACATTATATCATCAGTAAACCTGTACTATTATATTTAATTGCTAGAAGCCTCAAAGTTTTGATATAAATATGTTCTCTAAAATATTTAAATGTATCTTTATTCCATGGATTCTTCAGAGGCAGGACAATACCCATAAGGCAGGCATAAGAAATATCAGTGCTGAACTGGGGAACAGAATGGCCGGGGATATGCAGACCACTAGGAAGCCTTTGCTACAGCAGCAGCTTGAGCCAACCACCTGCGCCTCTGAACTGACTCGCTGACCCTTTACTTGTTCCCAAAAGATGACATGTGTTATTGTGACCAAGAGCGCAATTTAGATTCAGAAATCTTTCAGGCCAAACTGGAATTTGCTGCAAACTGTGTGACTTCAAACAGGTTACAGCACACAAATCAAAGTACCTATGTACATAAAAAGTGTTAACTAATAGTAATGCTTGTAATGCCAACATTAAATGACCCGTCCTCACTCTGTTCTTCTGAACCAGGAAAGAATAGAAATAAACATGCTTGTAAATAACAAACACTGCCAATTGTTAAGGAAGTCATTAATCAAAATCCTCATCATTGCTATGAATAGTTACGGTCAGATTTCATAACCTCAATTATACACTGCAAAAGTTTAATTGCAATAAGCTGGGGCAGGTGACAGAAAAGATGTTTGAAGACATCTTTTTATTCATCTATATATGCTCCTGAACCTGTCATAGGGCCTGGCACATGGTGGGTATAATGAGTGTCAATAGGGAAAAAACTGCAGTTGTATTCAGTTTTTACTATTTTCCAGATACTATTTTAAGCAGCAATCTGGTGACCAATCTTGCTTAGAGATGCACTGTATTACCAAATGAAGATCAATTTATATATTTAAGCTTAATCCTTAATGCTTTCAAATGTGCTGCTTTAATAAATGTTTGATTAGGGAACCTTGCTTTGTTATTCTTTTAATGATTCAGTCCTATTTTCTCTTAAAAGTAAAGACTGAAACATTTTTGCTTAAGCCTAGGATGCTGTGGACAGTAGTCATTTAAGAAAGTGCTGTAATGCTATGGCAGTGCTATAATGCTATGCCATTATAATAGAAAAAAATGGGTATTTTAAAAATTCTATTTCCTCAGTGCAGATTTAGATTCTGTAAACTTTCAGTAGTACCAGGGAAAAAAACGTTAGCATAGCTCTAGAGCCCTCTGGTGGGTTATTTTAACTTTGCTATCGAAGATACTGAAACTAATGTCAGCCAATGCTGAGGGCTTCAAATACACAGCAGATGACCTTGAAAAACACTTTAAAACATGGAAGCAACGAGCTGAAGTGAAATTAAGGGGAGTTCCCTGAAGAAGCCACAAAATATCAGTTCTTCGCCAAGAGAGGTATTGTCCATAATGCAAGCCACAAAGGAGAACTACACACATAGGTTTAGATTGGTTAGTAGCCATAACAAATAAGAGTAAAATGAGACAGCTGAACTTCACTTCAATACATTTTATTTAAACAATATGTCCAGAAAATATAATTTAATATACAATCAATTAAAGTTGGATATTTTGCATTCTTCAGGCTATATCTTCAAAATCCAATGTGTAATCTGCACTTGCAGTACCTCTCAGTTCAAACTCAACACAGTTCACATGTGGTTAGTGGAGGCTGAACAGACAGTACAGATCTAGAGGCCTAGCAATTATGGACAACAGGGTAGTATTGCAAGGACCAAAAGAGTATGAGGCTGATTCTTCCCCAAACGTGTCATGAAGAATGCGGCGAAATTTGATAACTAAAATACTTTCCCTAGATGTGGTTATGACAGTTTATATGAGGTATGAATGAACAATACAGTGAATGTTTAACTTTTTAAAACTTTACTATAATAAAAGACACTTTGTCGTTAACCCTCCTCAAAATACTCTTTCTTGCTTCAATCACACTTTTCCCATTGTTCTTGTCTTTTTCTAAAGCAGTTCTAGAAGTCCTCTTTAGTGAATGCCCTGTAGTAGCTGTCTCAATGTCCTGAATTGATACAGAATGTTGACCTTTCATGATCATTTTGACACTGGGAAAGAACCAGAAGTCACATGGTGCCAGATCTAATGAATAAGATGGATGAGGACACATGGTAATGTTTTTATGAGCTTGTCATTCCATTGGGTGGCACTCAGAGGCAACATTCACCAAATTTTTGTTTCAGAAAATACAAGAACAATGGGATAAGTGTGTCTGAAGCACAGGAAGTATTTTGAGGGGCATTCATGACAATGTGTCTTTTACTGTAACAACTTTTTAAACATCAACCATATATTTTGATCACACCTCATAGATAGGAGAGGATAAATACAGGAGTTCCTCAGTTTGCAAACACAAGCAGTTGGCAAAATTTTCTTTCCATTCTTGAACTCTACATCAGGTGACGTGGAACCTTATCAAGAAATTTGATTTAGTTTGGGACCAGAGTCATGGAAAGAATTAAATTCATGAACCAAGGTACCACTGTAATTCAGAAAGTGTATAAATAGAATAATTCAGCCATAAAGTATAGAGATATGTAAAAATGAATATTAAGGTAGGGTTAGAAAGTTAAGCAAGAGAGGAATAGTAGAGCAATAGGAATTTCTCAACTGTTTGAAAATATGAATAAGGCTACACAGAAATAAGACACTGATACTTTACAGATGAAGAACCTAAAACCAGTGGGCTAAACAATAAGGTCAAGTTACAGAATTTTTCTTCCTGAAAGATTAAAAATGACAGAGGAAAAAGGTGGCGGCAAAATACAGCCTCTCCAGGACCTGGAATTGAGACACCTGGAAAACAACAACTTTGTGAAAAAACAAAAGTAGATTTCCAGGAATTAAGAAAGAGCTAACAGGAAAATCAGAAACTACAGAGAAACTGTCAAAAATGAACACAACACAGAGAAAAGAAAGAAGTGGTCTGGAACACTAACCCCAGCAATTACAAGGTAAGCCCTGGAGCAGTCAACAGCTCCAGGGAGAGACAACAGACTAGGCTGGCAGCACCAGCTCCAAGAAAAGTCCACAGTTATTGTAAACTGCAGAAATAGCGTGGGGCTTTTCACTCTGAGAGAAGAAACCCAGTGCAGTGCCCTCCATATCTGAGAATGTTTAATTGGAGTAGTTTTGGGAAGGGGTTAAGACTGAGCTACAGAACAACTACACTTTAGGGTTTCTGGGGTCAGCCTACCACAGTGACTGAGTGAGAGACAGTCACAAGAAACAGTCACATAGCAGGTGCAGGCTAGACACATATGCCCTAAGAAGTTTAAGCTCAGGCTAAGAATGATACAGACTTCTCATCTTCTGTGGTAATTCTGGAGAGAGCTGGGTCTTAAAGTACTGGCGTGAAGTCCACTGCATGGCTGGACATCCCCCTACACACACACCCCACTGCCTACACCCAGCACAGAAATCAGTGGTCTGTTTGCGTTCCCCATCTGACAACGTGAGAAGGCAGGTGTCTCAGCTTGGTCGGTTGCCAAAGCCTGGGGTGTACAGACAGAGAGGCCACTGGAGTGGGGGGAAGGAAGCATCTCACAAATCCACAGGCCATACATCTAGAAGAAGAAAGAAGTAAAAACTAAGAAGCTGGAGTGAATACAGCCTGAGAGCAAACACAGCTGACTAACCACACCCAGCAGGAAGGATGGGGCACAACTCATCACTCACAAAAAGGCAAGTTTGGAAACGAAATTGGGCTTAGTAGTAATTCACTATCCATTCCTCAGATCTGGTGTATTCGCACAACACAGGCCCTCGAAAGAAACCACTCATTCAAAAAGAGAAACATTTTTGGAACTCCTTTCTCTTTTTCTTCACTGATGGGCTGGGGGCGGGGGCTGGGATTTTTTTTTAAAATTTTATCTTTTCTTCTTTGTTTTGCTCTTTTTCTATTTTCTTCTCTTTCTTGTTCTTATCTTTTACCTTTATCTAATTCTATTTCCTTTTATTCCTTAATACGATTCTTTATATCATTTTTCTCTCTTCCTTCTCATCATTTTTTATTTTTAAATTTTTATTTCTTTAATTTTCCTTTTCCCTACCCTTCCAATATTTTGGTATTATTATTAAGCTTTATTGATCTTTAGATATATAGTTTCACATCATGGTATTATTGTTGAATTCTTTTCTATTGTTAATGGTGATATACTTGTTTCATTTAGCAGATACTGTATGTATATATTTGGTCTGTCTTTGTGTCCATATTATTATTGCAGATCTCATCTCTATTGTTAAGGGTGGTACAGTGGTAGCTTTTATTGGATCTTATGGTATGTCAATATCCAATTTGTCTTCGAACTTATTATTGTTGTAATTTCATTGCTATTAACAGGGAGGAATAGTTACTGCTATTAATTGGGTTTTGTTATGTGCCAATATCTGGTTTGTCTTTGTATTATCAACAAACTTCAGTTCATTCTGGAGAACTGGGTGCCGGGCCAGTTACACTGCACACTTTCTTCTCCAAATTAACGGACTTGGTCTGATCTTCAGACAGGGGTAAAGGCCTATAATTAGCCACATCCAGAGTCCATTACTGGAAGCAGATGATAATTAAAGAGGTTTCCATACTAGCAACAAAGTCTTTCCACTATAATTAACCCTCAACTCTCACT